CTGGTCCGCTGGGTGATCCGCTGGTGTGCTGGGTGATGCGCTGATCCGCTGATCCGCTGGCTGATCTGCTGGTCCGCTGGGTGATCCGCTGATCCGCTGGTCCGCTGGGTGATCTGCTGGTCCGCTGGGTGATCCGCTGATCTGCTGGGTGATGGCCAGGGCCTGGGCCCAAGCGCGCCCAAAGATACGGACGCTCCACTGGTCAAGTGGAGCGTGAACAAGGAGATCGGACTGCTCTACAGGTGCACCGATAAACTGACGCAGAGTAGGCAGTCGCAAGAAGACCTTGATAAGGGTTTCCGAGCATTTCGCCCGCGGCCCGCAATTCGCAATGGTCATGGGACGGGGAACGCGTTTGCGCGCAGCCATGCTGCACAAGGGATCACCAGGCGTGGATTACAATACGGGTTTGCGTCTGCAATGGCCCGGAACCCAGCGGGGCATCTTACGGGTTGGCCCTTTGATTTTCTCTCATCCGTTCTCCCTCATAACAAGTTGCCCCCCCAAAAAAAAACCGGAGTGCCTAGTTTTTGGTCAGAGCTGCCTCAGAGTGGCTTGAGTAGTATTGCGTTACAACTGGAGAAGTGGGACCCCTTTGGTTTGCAAAACCATTGCTCAAAAGGCACTTCCCGAGAAAGGAGTTTGAACCAAAGAAGCGTAAACATAAAAACCGTGATTTGTTTCAGAAAGGCCCCTTGTTGGTAAGAACTTTCAATGGGAAGCGACCTTTCTTGGCCTTGTGTTCTGAGCGCGCTTTTGAAGTAAGAGCCCTGAAAACGTGGGGAAGCTGAGCCCACGTGCGAGAAGCCGCGCTGCCGCCAAAACACGCAAGCGCCTGTTTGTGCAGTTCAGCGCAACGCGCGTCAGACTCTGCAAGAGGCAATTCGATGAAAGAGCGGGGAGCTGCACACAGCCAGGCCAACATTCCTCACTCTTCGTCGCCAGCAACGCGCGAGACAAAGTGCGCTCCTGGGGGTTGTAGAAAAGAAGGCACGCGCCGCTGTGGGAACAAGCCAAACGTTGCAAAACAAGATGGTTGCAGCCAGGCTTTTACGAATACCAGAACAAAGCGCTGGCAACCATGCTGAAATCTTTCAAACAAGCGTATCCGCGAGTCAGGTTCAGCGATTCGTTCCCACTCAGTGGCTCATGTTCAAAATTGCCCCGGCCTGCCGCGCACTCACAACGGCCAACGGCTGACACAAGGTGGTGTGAGAAACAAAAACCTGGATGGGCGACGCCTTATACAAAGACAGCAGAGCTGCATTAGGCCTGTCTCTGTGACTGTTTAAGGTTCGTAAGCAAGGAGACACAGCAAGCACGTGCGTTTGCTCGAGTTCTTCGAGGGCATCAACAATCTCGAAGCGTACAGCCCAAAATGTTTTCGGCAGGATGCGCTGCGCTTTTTCAAGGCTGAAACACAAGAAATTCTACCATCAAGGGGCGTCGCCCGTTCTGCGCAAAGGCCGGCGCGGTCTTCAAAAACTATAAAGAGGCGCGAGTTGAAGGCATTCCAGGCCAAGCGCGGCAAATTCGGCAATCGCATCGCTAGCCTGCAGACAAGGCGAAAAAGGACTTGCTGGCAAGGTCCCAAACAAGCAAATCCGGGCAAGTTTGACCCTCAAGCAGTTGAGACGCCACACTCAAAGGCAATGGCTTACAGTAGCTCCAAGTGAAACTCGCGCCAGCTCGCAGGAGCCGGGCACGTTTTGCAACAGCAGCCTCATCATGGCTTGCAAGCAAGCTCAAGCGCATCCTGGGGCAACACGCTGCGCGCCTTGATTTGTCTACAATGGCGTGCTTGGCGTGCTCGGCTCCGTGGCATTTAAGCGCAAGACTGGCACCAAAGCAGCCCCTCCCGCCACAGCCTCCACGGTGGCGCGTCCCAACTGCGACGCAAACGAACAGCTTTCAAGCGGCTGCACGGTCTGGGTTTGGCTACGGCAACGAAAGCACAGTTGACGGGGAGACAAAGGTGCCAGCAACCTTCTACCTTCTGGCAATGTCCACGCTCGTCAACACTTGAAAGTCGGGCCCGTAGAGCGCAAGACTTTTTGCAGAGAGCAGGAGTGTCAGCTCCTGCGCTGTCTGGAAAGACAAAGCGTGGCACGGAAGCTGCCCTGCGACTCCAAGAGTTGACATCCAAACGACGGGGCGCAAGGGTGCCCACCCCGGAGGGTCAACCTCACGGTTTCAAAGCCGCGATGCGGTCACGCGATATGTAACAAGCTGAGAGACTAGCTCGGAGGCTGGGTCTGCAGTTGTAACGGCTGGCAGTGCGCCGGGGCGTTGGCGACAGAGTCACGGAATGTTGATAACGGGCGGCGCGCCAACTGCTGCCAAGAAGGACCCGGGCATTGTAGCGAGGTTCATGGCTCACATGCCACGCTGTGTGGAACGGCTGCGGCAACACTTGAAGTTCCGGTGTGGAGGATAGCCCTGAAGAGGCACGTGTGGCAGAAGCGCAACGTGCCGACACGCGTCGCAGGTGGCAGCGCGGCCACGCAGAGGAGTGCGCGAGGGAGAGGGAATTGCGTGGCATTATTCGCAAGAAGCTCCAGCAAGAAATCCAGTTCGAACAGGAGGTGCGAGCATGTTGTTACCATGGAGAATGTGCCTTGTCAACACATGGGAAGACAATATAGAGGTAGAAAAGCTAAGGAGGCTGGAAAAACATTTCGGGCATGCGCAGGATGCGACGCAGCAGCCAAGCTTGGACGGAGAGGCCGCCAGGAGGCATGGCTTTGGGTGTGGAAAGGGCGTGACCAGCTTGCTCTGAGTTTATCCGGTCATGCCAAAACGTGCAACCTCTTTCTTTCCCTTTGGGCAACTTTAGCGCCAGGACCGGAGGAAGTGAGACTGAGACTGTTGCCAGAGTCCATACAAATGGATGGATCCTTTCGAACACTGATAGTTTTCTGGGCCTTGCTGCTGCAAAGCTTGGGACAGCAGCCCGCTTTCCTTCGCCTCCATGGACTGGTCAATTAGTTTGTTCAAAGGTCTGGCGTCCGGTGTGAAAACGATGCCCGTTAGCCGCCTCTCCTGCTCTGTCTGCCTGGCAACTTGTTCGGGAATCTGGCAGTGCCCGCAGTCTCCGGCGCTGACTGCACGCAGGTCTGACAATGCCTGTGTGTACGATTCATAGACAAGGCGCCGTGCGCACGAAGCTGCAATCTGTGGGCCGCGTTTCACCATTCACACGGCGAATAAAATCAAGGAACAAGGTCTCGTCAGTGTTTGCCTTGAGCGCTGCCAGCAGGTCTGCAGGAACCCCGATCTGTGTTGCTAGTTCATCAAACGCGGCTTGACTTGACATGACCGGGGCCCTGGCCTAGGGCTAGGCGGGGGACTTGTCTCCGTTTCTGGGGGGGGGGGCGCGCACCGAAAGAATTCGGCGCACAAGGTTACTCACAGACCAGAAGTCTGATCAAAGGCCAAACTCAGTTCGACCCGCATCCGATCTCGAGCCCAGCGCGCAAGGTGTTCTTATTGCTGTTCCGTTGCTGCAGGCTGTTGATGCCTACATTCAACCCAGCAAGCAAGCAACACATCCCCCCCATGGTATAGAAGCCATTGGCGCTGAGCACAGCTCGTTTGCCCCGATTCTCGAACGAGGTAGTGTGCTACCCGAAGAGGGCGTGGTGACCTCCCCTGACTCCAAAACTGTTCAAAATTTCGGACCTGAAACGGCCACAGTGGAGGAACCCATTGTCCTTACACACATGCACAATCCCAGCGTCTGTTGATGACCATCCAGGATTCAGCGATGCCTCCAAAAGGGCCTGAGTCAGAGTCCGACGCATCGGGCCCAGGAGCAACGCCTGGGCGAACCAACTGGCAACGGCTTCCATCAGAATCCAACGCATTTGCTGCCCCTGCCACGCAGACTCACACACACACATCCAGATGCAGAAAATGCTGCCTGCCACGAACTCTGCAAGCGATCGCCAAAGTGCTGCGCTTGCCGCGCAAAACGGCGCCCCCAGCCGCGTGCTCGACAACATCCAGTCCCTTAAGACAGACGCCAAATGCAAACACACACCCAGATGCAGGAACGCAGACACACACCCAGATGCAGGAAATGCTGTGCCAGGCGAGTGAGTGAGTGAGTGAGTGAGTGAGTGAGTGAGTGAGTGAGTGAGTGAGTGAGTGAGTGAGAGTGAGTGAGTGAGTGAGTGAGTGAGTGAGTGAGTGAGTGAGTGAGTGAGTGAGTGAGTGAGTGAGTGAGTGAGTGAGTGAGTGAGTGAGTGAGTGAGTGAGTGAGTGAGTGAGTGAGTGACTATTATTGATTGCGTGTGAGTGAGTGTGAGTGAGTGTAAGTGAGTGTGAGTGAGTGTGAGTGAGTGTATGTGTGTGAGTGAGTAAGTGACTGAGTGAGTGTGAGTGAGTGTGAGTGTGAGTGCGTGTGACTGAGTGTGCGTGAGTGAGTGAGTGTGAGTGAGTAAGTGTGTGTGTGTGTGTGTGAATGTGAGCGAGTGTGAGTGAGTCTGAGTGAGTGTGTGTGTGTGTGTGAGTAAGTGAGTGAGTGAGTGAGTGAGCGAGCGAGCGAGTGAGGGAGTGAGTGAGGGCGGAAGGAGGCGGGAGGAGGAGGAGAAGAAACACGCGGCCGGATGACGAGCGGTAGAAGTAAGAACCCCACACAATGATGTGGGGGAAAAAGGTTGCAATCAGCTTAGAACTCAGCAGAAAAGATGAATGGTTTCACATTTGACTGATTTACAAGATGCAACTACGCAAAACTTTCGCGAAAAAAGTTACTTTCGCAACTCCATCGCGAGCTCAGTGTCGTGCGTGGGTTCTCGTGCATGCGTTCATTCTGAGTATACCGTAAGTTCTGGAGACGTGTTGCAGGAAACCTGACAGGCACGTGAGTTGCGAAAATACATTCCACAAAAGCAGTACAAAGAGATTGACTGGCTCATCGACTCTGAAAGAGGAAATCGACTGAAGGGCTGGATGGCATGTTGGGTTGCTTTCTGCCCAAACAGGACCGGGATCACCAGTTGTGGTAATAGAAGTACCTGCAGCGCCGCCCCGCATCTGCTTCAAACATGCTGAAACCACTGGTGAAAAGACAGCCCACAAGCAAGGTGCTGCAAGAGAGCACAAGAGAAACACCCGGAGAGACAGGGCGGAGACTGAAGCCCAGACTAAAGCACATGTGAGGGGGTATGCTTGAACATTATGTTCCCCATGGGGAAAGCAGCCTGCGCATAACTTGTGATGCGCTCACCTCAGCATTGTCTCCTCATAGAGGGTGCGATTTCCGGCACCACTGTGCATTCGCCTTGGAACAGCGGAGCTTCGCGTAGCTCAGTTCATTTCCACGGCGGGTCCCCAGACTCGAAGGAACGAATCCGTCCCAGAGAGCGCATCCAAACCGCATGTTGAACATACAAGAGCTATTTTGCACTTTGGGTGGTTCCCATTTAGCGCTCTTCTACATGCATCCAGCTTTAAGCAGACTCGGGAGTGACTCGCAGGGACCGAGTAATGTCAGCAGACGATTAGTAAACCCCCCCCGGATTAAAGGTTTCCCCTTTTCCCCCCCAAGTTCCAACCAACACTAAAGTAAAGGGCCAACAAGATTTCCCAAAAAAAACCTACCCAATAATTTTTGAGCCCTCCCCAAAACCCCCCCTGATTAAAGGTATCCCTCTGCAGCCCCCAAGCCAACAAAACCTGCCAGAAAGGTGCTTTCCTTCTTGCTTAGTATTTGCTGAGTCTGTGCTTAAACCCACCAATACTAAGTCACTATTGAACCCCTCAAGTTTTCCCAAAAAAAATGTGCTTCCCCCGAAATGCATTTGTCCTTATTAAAATTTGTTTAAAATGACAAGGTTTTCAAACTCACAAAGGGGACCCCCCTTGGAGGCCAGTCCCCCCTTCATTAACAGAAAACCCCCCGCGATTAATCAGGGGTCTTTTGGGCTCAAAACCAAAAAAATATGCTGTTGCCTTTTAAAGTCCTACTGCCCTGAAGGGACCAGAAGTAAGAGGACGAGGACCGCAGGGGCTCCAGAGTAATCAGGGGGGTCCTCCCAAAAATCTCATTTTTGGGACCTTGTCAACCTTGAAGGGGGGGGGGCAATTTACTAATCAGTTGGCACCATTATGGGAGTCTTCACTCTGGTCCAGGACTAGGGCCCCTTTTGGCTCCAGAGACAGCGACATGAAACCAAGTCTTGGGGTCCGATAAATTTGGCAACACATTGCGTTTGTTTCCGCGCGTTTGCGATGGCTCCAGAGGCATCGGCACAAACTGGTCGAAAACTGTGCTGGCCCCGTAGGCAGCCGATGTCCTGCGCTCAAAAATGACGAGAACTTCCGCAGGGGAAGGGAAAACTAACCGAAGGTCGCCCTCGGTCAGGCGGTTTCTGTGACAACGTGAGCAAGGCTAAATACCTCGGGCTGAGCGTGAATCGCTCCACAAACAACTGAGAGTCGGTCAAATCTGTGTGGGAGTTGCTGACGATGAAGGCCTCGACAATTGTCAGGCTCATTCTTGACTCAATGGAGGCTTGCGCACGGAACGTCTTCATTGCATTAAGTGATGTGCATTCCGAGACATGCTGAGTCTGTGACTGGCATGCACATCAGCATAACTAGAACCTGCGCATCTTGGGCTTAGGCACAATGCCGAATCCATGAGGGTCCCCAAACGCATGCAGAAAACAAGGAAACTAGTTTGACGGGTTGTTTGCAGAATCACTGGTGCTTTACTTGGCCGTCTACTCGACCAGAAGGCCTACGCCTTTCCAACATGTGACATTGGGCATGCTGGCCGCTCCTTGCCTTGAAAGTCAGAACCATTTTGACACCTTCCCCCACTCTGACGCAAGTGGGTGACCTGGCCCACACTTTCGCTTAGTTTTCCTCAAAGAACCACCAGGGGAGGGTCCAGTTCCCAATTGAGTTCTCCAGTTCAGGAACCCTTTTGAGCCGATTGCTGATCCGAATCAATGGGTGTTTCTCTTGCTTTTAGGGGACATCTGTTTGGTCAATGTCCTAGCTTTAAAGGGAAAATCAAATGGACAACGCCGCCAGCTCGGGGTTCATATCCCTTCGAGACACATCCCCAGAGCTTTTCATTCGGTGGGCGCAGCGGGCGCACCAGCAAGATGACGCGGCGGGTCGTCAGTGCGACAAGCTTGCGCCCCACTGCGCTCTCACCTCCGTGTTGCTTCCACCAAAGCGTGAATTGTTGGTGTCCCTTAACAGCATTAAAAACTCACCCAATATAACGCCTTAGGCCTTGTTCAGGCCATTCGCGAAGCAAGAAACAAGTGCAGAAATTAATCTGTAGACGCTTGCTCAGTTCAGCTCTTTGAACTCTTAGCCGCAGAACTCGATCGGCTGATGAGTGGGGATGGCTGCTGATTGACTGGCGCTTCAAAAGCTCCGGTTCCCAAAACATATTTCACCCAGGCAAAGAGAACCGGCGACACGCTTGCGCCCATATTCCCTGTCTGGGGTCGTGACGGCGAACCTGCGAGCAAGTGAATCAATGACTGGATCGAGCCGCTTAAAACCAGGCAAAGGGAACGCCTCACTCCCTGCCTAGTTAAGCAAAGTTAACACTGTCAAGCATACACAGGTCTCTACCGGCTAGTGCCTTGCGCTCATTGGTGTCGTCCTGCTCTGTGTTGTCCCAGTCATCCTGGTAGTTGGCCGCACGATGTGATATTCACGCACTGCCCCAGGCAATCCAAACTGGCCCAAAAAAGGGCATCTGAAAATAGAAAAGGCTGGGGGGAATGTTATAGACAGAAGGCCGCCAGGCTGTTGCCATGCTTGTCTCGAGCGGGCGAAAGGACATGATCTCAAAGCCTGCGCAAATAAAGGGAGGCGCAAGCAAAGCCTACGCGATCATTCTGGAGTCCATCGCCATGCAAACTATGAGCCATATTGAACCCTGCTTTGTCTACCTGCTCCGTGGGGGCCATGCAGCGATTGATAAGCCTACCTCAGCAAATCTGACTGCTGCTCTACGTACGCCGAGAGTCTTCTTTGGGAAGGTAATGCTGAGGACGTATCAAACGCCTACGCCGGCGCCTACGCATGTGAAAATAGCATGCGGGACGGCCTACGCGAGGTGTATGCGAGCCTAGGCGGTTGGAGTTTTGCTCAAAGTGCCTACGCAGTGTGCGTTTCGCGCTAAAACTCGTACGCGAGCACCAACTAGCAACCTGTCAAGTCGAGCCTACGCGCGCCTACACGAGAAGCTCCCCTTGGCTACGCGCGCCTACGCGCCTGCAGTACTGCGCCTACGCGAGGCCTGATATGTCCTCTCTCCCTGTGCCCCTTTACTACCCCCCAAAAAAAACTCTGCTCGTTTGAGCAACGGCTGCTTCTGAGATAGAGAACCAAAGTTCGTCGCATCTAGTGTAGATGACACAGGAAACCAAACAAGCCACTGCAGCCAGTGGCCCTCTGGCGTCCTGCTCTGTAATGCTTTGCCTAGATAGCAATATTGGCTGCGTCGAAAATGGCTGGTGTTCTGACATATACAGTTACGCCCGCTTTATCTCGGTCGGTGATTTACGAGAACTCTACCAGTGGAAGGCGATAGCTGAGGCAGTGACTATCGTCTCGTCTCCCGGCCTCATCTCTACGTAACAGAAGCGATGCCACGTCACATATCAAAAAGCGATGCCTTTGACGGCCTGCTCCAATGCTCTTGGGCTAAGCGATTCACTGATTTGCAGGCTGCTTGGTTTCTGCCATCAGCCTCTCGTAGGCAGCCTGGCGAGGCACTCTGTACAAATGGCGAGACACAACCCGAGCGATGTGCGTCCGGCCTTGTACAGCTTCACAATGCGAACCAAGCGGATGACGCGCACTACCCGCCCGACAGACCTTTGGCAACAGGGCGCAGGTCGAAAAGGCACGCATATGCGTGATCCATGTGAACACAACATGGATCCGTTGAACATGAGCGCATCCTTTCATTACTGGACCCCACCAAAACAAAGGTCAACTGCGTCAGAGGCCAGGACGCGCCCAGTCTTGCGGTTCGTCCACCCCGCGCCTGGCCCAGAGTGCAGGTGGCACATTGTGAGAAACACAACTCGGGAAGAATGTGAACATGGAAACAAAATCTTATAAAGAAACATAATGCTTAGGCATCAACGACCACAACTCGGGCTCCCATCGAACCTTGTCGCCCATTTCCATGTCATCTGACACCAAGGTGTCGGCCACCTCAGGTGAAGGTTGACGTATCTCGGAATCAAACGTGCGCTCCAACTTAGGTGAGCCCAAGCCCGACCGCTGCATGAGAGTTGATGCGCAAACCTTCAAACCAGTTTCGGTTTTGCCTGCAAAGGCCCCTACGTCGAGTTCGGATACCTGTAGGAACGCCTGGTTTTCAAGTGCGTGGGCGGCTTTTGTCTTGCACAGTGCTTTACGCATTCTGGATTCTTTCCGGAAAGGTCGTATTTTGTTGCTACTCGCACCAAGACTAAGATTGTTCATCAGCACACGGCTCTGACCTGGACACTGTTTTGGCCTTCAGCAACATTGGCTGCAGAAACAGGGGGGTTGCGCAGTGGGTTCCAGCTTGAGCGAATGTGGACATGGAAACTTATCATTCGCAGTTGGGGCCGCGGAGTAGAGAAGCAGGCTGTCAGGCATTGCTACAATGCACTGATGCGCATGCCCGGGGGCGCGCAACATGCGCACGAATGTTGCTAAAAGCGTTGAGGCACAGGCACGGACGCGCGTACGCTTGTTTGCTAGACTTACCGTAGCAAGCAGCGGAAAAGATGCATCCGTTCGTTCAACACCGACAGCTGTCAGGCTTAACGGAATGAACCGTGCAACTTGCAAAATCTCGCCTTGTTCTAGCCTACTCCATGCCAAGCCCACGTTCAATCATTGTCAACGTGGATGTCACACATGCGGCATTGTATCCCCTTCCATGTTCAATCCTTAACAATTTACCTTGTAAAGCATCAAAGCATGTCTAACTGTTGGCATTAATACAACCCTGAATGCGCTATTGAGATTTCGGAAAGATATGTTGAACATTGGACACATCAAGTGTAAAACAACAAGGCATCCACTGCGGTGAACAGTGGAACAGGGTCGAAACAACTGCATGTGCAAAGGCCAGCAAATGCCCGCTAGTGCACCCATGTGAGGTCCAGAATGAGGGAGGCAGTGGAGACAACGTCCAGGGTGAAGAAAAAGCCGAGAAAATAGTCCTGCTGCATTGGTTCGGATTGCCTGCCTGGCTGTCACGCCTGTCAAATGAAAAGTTACTACTGAGTATCCAGGAAAAATGGTTCCTAGATACTACCTGTTTGGTTGGATGAAAACATGTAACCTGCGGCCAATTCAAACAATGCGGGCGAAATGTGCCACTGCTCGTGCAACCAGCATGCCCCGCTGGCTGCCTTACGCGCTCGTGCGCGTGCGCGCGCGAAAAATGTACACGCGCGCATGTGCTTGCGTGCCCGAGTAAGTGCATGGCGCTGCGCGTGGGTGTGTTTTGTGTCCGCGTGTGTCTTTGCGTGAGTCTGTGCGTGCGCGGGTGGGTGGGTGCCGCTATGGGTGTGTGTGTGTGTGTCGCCTCGCGTCGCGATGCGTTAAGCTACGCTACGTTGAATACGTACGTAGGCATGTGTGTGAGCGTGCATGTGTGTGTCTATGTGTGCTGAGCGTGTGCGTGTCTGCGCTCGCTTGCGCCTGTCTCTGTGTATGTTTCGTTGTTTGTATGATTTGTGTTCCTTCGTTAGCTTGTTTTTTGTCTGTTTGTTTGCTTGCTCGTTTTCGCGCTTCTTGTTTTCGTTTGCTTGTTGTGTTGCGTGTGTTTGTTTGTTTGTTGTTTGTGTGTTGTTTTGTTTGGTTGTTTGACTATTTGTGTGGTTGTGTGTGTGCGTGGTAGTGGAAATCATTGTCTTTACGTGTGACTGCGTTGGTTTTGTGTGTAATCGGGTCGTGTTTGCGCGCGTTGTCTTCGTTGAACATGTCGCGCCGCTCGAAGTATTCCGCGCAGTCGCCACGCCCGCGCGTGGGCGCTGGCGGGCGCGAAGGGCTGCGTTCGCGCGCACGCAAACAAGTGTGCGAGCGTGTGTGTGTGTGTGTCTGCACGCACGCTTGGATTTTGTGACTGTGCGACTGTGTTGTTTTTTTGAGCATTTTTGGCGCCCGCTTCTGCTCGCGCTTCGTGTTTTTCATTTCGGGCATGAGTCTCCGCATTTTCTGACTGCACGTGAGCAGTGTTGAAACCCAGATGCGGCCGAAGAGAAATATCAAATCCCTTTTGCAAAGGCTTCCGCGGAGCTTGCGCGGCGTGGGGCTCCTTCCGCAAGAGGGTTGAAGAGGGAATCGCTTCCGCGTCGCTTCCGCGGATGGAGAAACCGGATTGGATTCGTGTTCGCTTCCGCGCTTTTGTGATTGAGTCCCTTCCGCGAAGCTTCCGCAAGTACATAATTGAGAAACCCCTTCCGCGAACCTTGCGCGGCGCTTCCGCGACTTCGGAAAGGTCAACATTTTGAAAACGATCTTCCCCCCGGATACTACTTTCAAGCGCAGGGGTATTGAAACGCCGCTCACGTGTCTTTGAACAGTCGCGCGCGCCTCCGCAACGGAGTGTGTGTTTCTCTGTGTCTGTGTCTCTGTGCGTCTCTGTGTGTCTCTCTGTGTGTTTCTCTGTGTGTCTCAGTGTGTCTCTCTGTGTTTCTCTGTGTGTTTGTGTGTCTCTGTGTGTGTGTCTGTGTGTGAGTGTGTCTGTGTGTGTCTGTGTGTGTCTGTGTGTGTGTCTGTGTCTGTCTGTGTGTGTCTGTGTGTGTGTCTGTGTGTCTGTGTGTGTCTGCGTGTGTGTCTGTGTGTCTCTGTGTGTCTCTGTGTGTGTCTGTGTGTCTCTGTGTCTCTGTGTGTGTCTGTGTGTCTCTGTGTCTCTGTGCGTCTCTGTGCGTCTCTGTGTGTCTCTGTGTGTCTCTGTGTGTCTCTGTGTGTCTCTGTGTGTCTCTGTGTGTCTCTGTGTGTCTCTGTGTGTCTCTGTGTGTCTCTGTGTGTCTCTGTGTGTCTCTGTGTGTCTCTGTGTGTCTCTGTGTGTCTCTGTGTGTCTCTGTGTGTCTGTGTGTGTCTGTCTGTGTCTGTGTCTGTGTCTGTCTGTGTCTGTGTCTGTGTCTGTGTCTGCTGTGTCTGTGTCTGTGTCTGTGTCTGTCTCTGTGTCTGTGTCTGTGTCTGTGTCTGTGTCTGTGTCTGTGTCTGTGTCTGTGTCTGTGTCTGTGTTTGTGTCTGTGTGTCTGTGTGTCTGTGTGTCTGTGTGTCTGTGTGTCTGTGTGTCTGTGTGTCTGTGTGTCTGTGTTTCTGTGTGTCTGTGTGTCTGTGTGTCTGTGTCTCTGTGTGTCTGTGTGTGCGTGTGTCAGTGTGTCTGTGTGTGTGTGTGTCTGGGTGTCTGTGCGCGCGTGCGCGTGCGCGTGCGCGTGTGCGTGTGCGTGCGTGTGTGAGTTTGTGTGTGTGTGGGTGTGGGCGCGCGCGCGCGTGTGCACAGGGGCGCCTGCTTGCAAGCGCACGTGCTCGCGCCTGGCGTCCTAGACAACCCAATGGTGCACATAGGGTCACATCATCCAAACATCTCGCGGCGACGTGCACCATATTCGCCGCAACACGCATCATTTGTTGCATCGAAACGCATCATTCGCAAAAGGTGGCCTCAAACGGCCTCTTCTGCAGAAATGGTGTCCAAAGGGCGCTGTTTAGTTGTCCTGCGGCTTCAAGCTTCTTCGGGGTCATTTGCGCGTTGACCGCGCTAAGTTCGCAAGATCTTCTGCGCTCACTCGCAAGGGGGTGTGCGGCGCTGTGTGTTTATGTTTGTGTTTGTGTTGCGGTGTTGTGTGTGTGTGTGCGTGTGTTGTGCTGTGTTGTGCTGTGTGTGTGTTGCGTTGTGTTGTGTTGTGTTGTGTTGTGTTGTGTTGTGTTGTGTTGTGTTGTGTTGTGTTGTGTTGTGTTGTGTTGTGTTGTGTTGTGTTGTGTTGTGTTGTGTTGTGTGTGTGGTGTGTGTGGTGTGTGTGTGGTGTGTGTGGTGTGTGTGGTGTGTGTGTGGTGTGTGTGTGTGTCTGTGTGTCTGTGTGTCTGTGTGTCTGTGTGTCTGTGTGTCTGTGTGTCTGTGTGTCTGTGTGTGTGTCTGTGTGTCTGTGTGTCTGTGTGTCTGTGTGCCTGTGTGTCTGTGTGTCTGTGTGTCTGTGTGTCTGTGTGTCTGTGTGTCTGTGTGTCTGTGTGTCTGTGTGTGCGTCTCTGTCTGTCTGTCTGTCTGCCTGTCGGTCGGTCTGTCTCTGTCTGTGTCTGTGTGTCTGCGTCTCTGTCTCTGTCTCTGCCTGCCTGTCTGTCTGTGTCCGCGTGTCTGTCTCTGCCTCCAGCTCTGTCTTGATCTCGGTCTGTGTGTGTGTGTCTCTGTCTCTGTCTCCCTGTCCGTGTCTCAACCCGTGTTTGAGGCTCTGTGGGTGGGGCGGGCGGCTGGCTCGCTGGCTGGGTGGCTGCGCGCGCAAGTGTGCGTGTCTGCGCGCGTGAGCGCGGCAGGCGGACGGGCGGGCGGGCGGGCGGGCGGGCGGCGGGCGGGCGGGCGCGGGCGGGCCGGGCGCGTGCGTGCGCGCGTGCGTGCGGGCGCGCTCGCGCGCGTGCGTGCGTGCGTGCGTGCGTGCGTGCGTGCGTGCGTGCGGGCGCGCTCGCGCGCGCGTGCGTGCGTGCATGCGTGCGTGCGTGCGTGCGTGCGTGGGTGCGTGGGTGGGTGGGTGCGTGGGTGGGTGGGTGGGTGGGTGTGTGTGTGTGTGTCTGTGTTTTTGCGTTTTTGTGTTCGGGGGTTTGGGTGTTTCGGTGTTTGTGTGTTTGTCTGAGCGGGCGCGTTTGCGCACTTGTCTGCGCCTGTGTGAGTGTTAGCGCCTGCGGGCGCGTGGGTGGGTGGGAATTGCCATGAGGGAATATTGACATTGCCCTTCCAAATATTATTTGGGCGTGTCTGTTTGGGAGACGTGTCGCAGGTTGCCCTTTGCCTTGCACACGGTGTGTGGCAAGCTGCGCAGCGAACATCATACTAGATTGGCTGCTAGACATCGCCCATAGACAACAGACGCAGAGACAAACGCGCACACAGACACAGACAGACAACACACAGGCACACAAACACACAGACACGCAACCCGCAGACAGACACACAGGCACACAGAGAGAGAGAGACACACACCCACACAAACACACACACACACACACACACACACACACACACACACACACACACACACACACACACACACACACACACACACACACACACACACACACACACACACACACACACACACACACACACACACACACACACACACACACACACACACACACACACACACACACACACACACACACACACACACACACACACACGCACGCACGCACGCACGCACGCACGCACGCACGCACGCACGCACGCACGCACGCACGCACGCACGCACGCACGCACGCACGCACGCACGCACACACGCACCCACACACGCATGCACGCACACACGCGCACGTGCACTCACACGCACGTGCGCACGCACGCACGCAAGCGCACACGCACACCTACACGCACACGCGCACGCACAGGCACACGAACGCAAGCACACACGCAAGCACGCAGGCAAGCACGCACGCACGCGCGCAGAAAAGGGTTGCAAAAGGCCAAGAGACAGCAGAGATGTAACCCAGGAGCAGCCTGCGATGAAGTGAGCAGACGGCAGAGCTTGCAGCGGCGCAACTTGCCAGAAGATCAGTTGCGCTGGCCAAGCGCTAGTACGGCCTCACGGCCTTCTTGGGCGGAACTCGAATCAAACTGGCAATGCCGTGTGTGTGTGCGCGCGTGGTTGGCTGCAAGCGAATCACAAGGCATCGACATCAGTTCAAATCACAAGCAGGCTGCGTGCTCCAAGACGTGGGCAAATCGGAGAACCTCACCACCGCTGCGGCAGTGAGCCAACCCAGTAGTGGGTTGTCACGGGCCCGGAGCAGCGCCAGGAAGGCCATGATTGAGTGTCAGATTCACTTGGTTCGTAGCTGTCTGGTTTGCCCAGCTGGCAAGCCGCAGGCCACAAAGTGCTTAGCCAAGGGGCCTGAAACAGGAAACAAACAGCAGAACCAAAAGGAGGGCCAGAGGTGTTGAAGTTCGGAGCGCGAAGTTCAAAGCCCAGTCTGCGCGCGCTCCGAGTAAGGTCCTGGTCCGCGAGCTGGCGCTCAAAGCAAGAGAGAAAGGAGCTGTCAGGGAGGGAGCGCCCAGGCTCCGTGAGCGAGCACGCCCAAAAAGGAAGTATCTTGGCAAGCACGCTCGCAAAAAGCCTAAATCCCGCAAGCAGGCAGCACAAATGTTGCCACAACCCATGGGCGAGCACGCCTTCTACAAGCTGCGCCGCGCGCTAAACAACTGTATGGCGTACGGGCGAGCACGCCCTGCGCCAAACACCCGTTGGCGAGCACGCGCTCTGCAGACACAAAATGCCCCCCGTAGAAACGAAAGAGAAGCAAGGAGAACTCCTAGGGACCATCTAACGAATTCCCGGGCGGCTTACCAGCATGTTTGCCAGAAAAGGCGCCCAGGCGTGCGCGCAGAGCAGGTTGAGGAGAACTGTGGACGCCCAGCAGGGCTTAGCTGACCATCAGGTTGAGCGCTGGCTCGCAGAAGGAACAGAGAAGAGAAGGGGTGACAGAAGAGCAAAGAAAAGAGAGAGAGAGAGAGAGAAAGAGAAAGAAGACGAAGAACCAAGAACAACAGCAACAAAAAAAACATAAAAACAAACAAAAATGAAAAAAAGGAAGGGGGAAACCGCCGAAGGGGGGAGAGCGCGTGGGACAAAGTACCGCCCGGCACGCGCCTAGGGCGGCAGAACGAGGAGGACAACGCGCAGGTAGAGGACGGGCTGCTGTCGACATCCGGTACCTCCAGGTCAGCGGCAGGAGCCGAAGGCTCAAAAGGAAAGAAAGAGGGAGAAAGAGAGAGAAAGCATGGTGGGGAAGGCCGGCAAAGCAAGACGCAGCAGCATCTCAGCCGGTACCAGCAATCAATTCAAGAAGTCGCACAAACGACAAAGGGAGAGAGAGAGGGCAAGGAGAGGTGTGGGTTCTGCCTCTGGCGCTCCAGCAGTCACACGCGGCCCTACCAGAAGCATCCGGCCCGGTCCGGCCCCACACACAGCTTGGGGGCGCACACAGAGAAACACCGACGTGTGCTGCAAATACGCAGTGTCTTATATCTATGTGCACAAACAGACCAACAATTCAATCTGCGTATCACTGTCGAAACAGGCCTGCCTGCTTGCAGAAGGATGACAGCAGCACCTTCATCGCCCAGCATTCGTGTTCGTGCGATCAACCATCAACCCAGGGCTCCCGTTTTGGCCAACATGACAACACCCCTGGAATGGCCACGCGGCCTCCAGGGCGAAGAAGCTGAGGCAAACGATAGTCGCAATGTTGAACCTCAGAAAGTTGAGCGTGCATAACATTATGGCATTGGGGGCTCGTGGGGCAGAGGGGCCTAGCCTTCCGTTGCGGGTCATGCGCCATCATTTCGGTCAACGTGAAGCTGCTAACTGAATGCCTAGGCACCTAGGCAAATCTCTCCGGGGTGGCAGAATACTGCAAGCTTTCTTCTTTTCGGCAGCCAAAGGCAACGCCAACCTATTTCGACGCGTGGCCACGTGAAACTTACCGGACTTCACAGCTGCAAAGCCTGCACGGTCTTCGCGCGGCTTTCAGACATGGGCCGGCAGCCGTAGATTGGAAAGCTGTCCACACTGTGCCGGCATTGCGTTTTGCTGCGCGGTTGCTTTTCTGTTGGCACGCCCTTGTTCCTCCAAAAGTCGGGGGTCCTTTTTGCGGTCGCCTTTCACGGCCCTTGCATGGCCACTTCCGGCTCACATTGCGTCATGAGGCGGCCCGTGAGATAAAGACCTGGAACTGCAGGCTCAATGTGTCGACGGCTACGCCCGTTCACAATTCAGATGTGAATGGTGTGATGAACTGCCACGTTGAACGCTCAACTTGAGTTTAACATGGTGAATCTCACAACCCAGGGCGCCGCCGAAGAAGACTCATTACTTTTCGTGGGTTGGCAGAGTGGGTGCATCCAAAAACCCAATGATACGAAACATTGCTGCGGGAGTTGCCGGGTTTCCGTTTCTACTGTGGGAACGTGCAATTCGGGGTTTCGGATCCCAGCCAAACCTTTTAATGTGGGAACGGGCAGTTTTGTTCCAAAAAGGATTTAGAACGGGCTGTTCCAGAGTTACAGTTTACAATGCTGTGAAAAGGGTGCGGAATTTGCTTGAGCCGACACCAGACCGTTCCAAAGCATGAGGTCTTTTTGAACCGAAACCCCGGACCCGTCCTCTTGTAAGACTTCTTGGCTTGGCGCAGGGGCCACGAACATCCTACAAAGAGAGACGCAAGAAACACAACTTCCGAGTGTCAAGCACGATCTCCTGGTATGAGTTTTTGAAACATCAGACACCTTTCGCTACGACGCTTGGCCAACCAAAGCGACTAAGACATGTCCCAACTTAGGCCCCTGGTTCATGAAAACAGGCGTTGGGAAGCTCCCTCCCCGACAAAGAACCAAACAAGCGCACATAGGTCTGCAAGACCTGCGACACGTCTGCGCCTACGCTCCGAAGGCCTGGGGCGTCAGAACACAACATGTGGGGAAGCAAAGTGGCTCTGGGGCCTCTGAAGGCTGGGCCAGGGCGAAGGCGTGTTCCCTGCCTCACAAAACTCAACAAAGGTGTGAGTGGAAAATGTATATGTTACAGCGCGGCAAGCTTCACAAGCTATCGCGATCAACCAGGTTTGCTTGCTGACGTCTCAAAATCCGAGATGGACCGACTTCTGATTCCAGACATGGAACCTGAACCGCAAACCTGTTTTTTTGGGATCAGTTGGGCTGGCTGGTCGCCCAGACCTGAGCACTCAGCCGGTGGGGTCAACCACCTCAGCTGGTTTTCGGCTACTGGAGGCCATCAAAACAATAGAATGAAAACAAACTGAGGCATGACGGGAGAGCCGGAAGGCCTGCCCAAAGGCCAACCTTCAGGTAAGGCTGTCCGCCCCACGCCGCCAACCAAGCGCCGAAAACGCGCCGGCCATGAACATACGTGTTGCGCCGCATCGCCCCTGCTATGGGAAGAAGCTTCAACGCTCTGCGCAGAAACATGTCGCGCGGCGCTGCCGAAAGCAGGTATCTGAGCGACCGCAAAACCGCGCTTGCGTGGAGCCTCGTCTTGCGGGCCAGGTTCTTCAAGCGGGTTTGCTTCCAAAGGCGCGGCCTGCTTGGCTTCGAACACCTAAAAAGCGAAGGCCAGCAGATATCAAATCTGCCGTCAACAACGTAAATGCGGCTACCTGGGCCTCAACCCCCGAAGGGTCGCGATCGGGCTTTTCTTTGACCAATCCCCGCCGAGTCAAAAGTGTTTCCTAGGGCCCGGCCTGTGCTGGACACCGTCCCCAGCGCTGCAAGCATCATCCCGACTGATGCAAGAAAATTTAATGCTGGGGATGCTAGATCAAGGGGTTAAAAAAAAGGAGAGCGCGTGAAAGGGAAATGAAGGGAGAAGTGGAAGGCAGCAAGCGCAACGAGCAAGCAAATCAGTCACACCTGAGCGCGTCTTTCGCGAGGCTGACCGCGAGCCCGTCACGCGCGCTGCAGCTGGGATCAATCGTGCGCAACTTGCGCGCGGCTACCCTTGGGTAAAGGGGGCCTAGCCGACAAGCGTAGACCCCGACTGCATGCTGCAGCGCGTGTGCGAAAGGATTGCAAGCTGCCCCAAAACATAAAGCAAGCAGCGCTCAGCAAGACGGGAACAAGCCAGAAGCAAGGCAAGCCGACCGGCTGCTGAACAAAAGCCCGCAGCAAGCAAAACGCAAAACCAAGATCATATTAACACCTCGCACACCCCGGGCCCCATGCGCGCGCGTGCGCCAAGCGCGCTCACGACGGCGCGCAACCTACGTCTTGTCGCGCGCGTGCAAAAGATGAGCGCGGAGACCGCGCTGCACGCGTGCCTGGCATCTAAAACTACACACTGCGCACGCCTGGCGCGCAACCGCGCGCCTAAACTGCAAGCGCGATCCACTCTGAAGCGCCGACGCCCCGCAGGCTGAAAACCTGCTAAGTGGAAAAGCCACACAACCTTTGCCACAAGTAGCGGCGGAACCAGCGGAACAAGGAAAAGACCCAGAAGTCCAGGCTACAGGCCAAACAGAGCGCACTTGCGCGCGCAAGTATACCCAAAATTGCTGGAAGCGCACGCATGACTTTGAAACAAACACCAGGAATGCGTAGCAGGCTTTGCACGCGCCTTGCGCGAGGCTGACTTCGCGCGCTCCCGCTTGGCATTCCCCTGCCGCACGCGCCTTATGTCGGCATGCGCTGGTCCCGGTCGCAAGCTGCAGCGTATGAGAACTGCCGACAACAGGCGGCATGAAACCAGAAGAAAGAAAGGAAGTGACCCAACACACCAAGCTCGCTGCGCATAGCGAAATAGAAACAGCAGAAGGCGAGTGGCCTCAGCGCGCACAAGCGCGCAGGCGCCGGCTGCTGATCCAAAGCCCGAGAATACAAGGGAAACGCTGCAGCAGGCAAAATACAAAACCAAGCCAGCAACCTTGCGCGCCCCGGACCAAGCGCGTGCGCCTCGCGCGCCCTGCTGCGCACGACCTTCGTGCGCCCTGGGGGCATACACTTGAGCGCAAAACATGGACGCTGGGGGAGACTAGGCGACGTCGAAATTCTGACGGCGCCGGCCTATAGGAAGACGGCGGGAGACTGCGGCGCCGGCGCGGCACTGTTCGAGTCATCGGCCACCTGCGCCGGTGGTCCTGCAAGGCCCTGACAACTCGTGCGCAGAACTGACAGCCGTTACTACTCTGTGAACAAGCCCATCTCAGCTCAACAGACGGAGCCTCCTCAAACAAACTGATCAGCACTTTGTCAAGAACCAAAAACTTATGCTGAAGCAAGCCCCACGCATTAAGCTGGAACGCACACGAGCAACGCCATGAGAAACCAATACCAATCATCACAATACTCACTTCCGCCAACAAAATTTAGTCTCAAAACATGGTGCGGCAAATGAAACTTTATAGGTATGCGCGCAACAACGATCAAATCAAAATCAGCGATGGCAAGGGGTTCCTTGGCCGCCAATGTTTTTCGCCGCCGTTCCCCCCAGCATCCCCAAACTCGGTAAGGCCCTTTTGGCTGACGCGCAGCTCAGGTCAGGGCCCAAAGAGTGACAAGTTCTCAGGGCAGGTCCTTGGAGAAACACTAAGGACCGATGCCAATTGCCTGAGGCTTCACTTGTTTTGCCTGTTTTGGCGGGGGCCCAAAACGCGAAGCTCCAGAGCCCCAGACTAGTTTTGAGCATGGGTCATTTGGACCCCCCCCACTGACCTGCAACTAGGTCCTGCTATAGGTTCACACTGCGTTGCCTTTAATGCAACTTGGGCGCGTCGAAAGCGCCGAGTGGGCGCGGAAAGGCGACGCGCCTGCCAAATGGATGGATGGGATGAAGGCGCAAAAACGGACACCAAGACGGCTTGACCAAAACCAAGCTGCGACCCGTGCTTCCGCAACGCCAGGACAAATGAACCGAACAGCAGCGAACGCAAGTGCTTGACCTTAAAGAAACTGCTCTGGTTTATGGCGAAACCGCTCGGAATTGCAAGGCTTTTTCCGAGATGAAAGGCAATCCCGCTCTTGCGCAGGGCTGGATAAGAGTAGCTTCGGCGCCGGTGTAAGCGGCGCTTGTGCCAGTGTTTCTGGGCGGCGCCAGCGCTGGTTCGCTGGGCCGGGCGCTGGGCTGGCGCTGCGTGGTGGGGCCAATGAGCAGCGCCGCGGTTGGGGCCGGCGCCGCGTGATATGGAGGCTGTGGCTGCGAGGGGCGCGAGAAAGTGCGCTTCTTTTCTGTGCGCCAGGGTTGGCAGAGTGACTGTGGATGCGCGAGGGTCTAGCATCACTCGCGCCAGCATGGGTGTAGTGAGTGGTTGCAGTCGTTGTGGGCGCGCGTGGTTTTTCATCAGCGCCAGACTGCGCGCGCATCATTCTCTAACATGGGCCGGCGTGTGCCGCGAGGCAGCGCGCAAATTTGCACCTTTGCACCAACACGGGCGCAGTTGTCGCGGATGCGCGAACCACGAGCGAGGCGCCTGCAGGCGGTTGCGCAGCATGGACACAGCGGCTGCGGACACGCCCGCGCATGTGATTTAGATTTTTAGCAGCATTGGCGTGGTGATTGTGGATGCGCTGGGCGTGATTGTTAACGGCAAAGCCGGCGAAGCCGCTTGGCGGAAGTTTCTACCAAATAAGCAAGACAGTTCTCTTTATCTTTAGCTTTTCTCTCTTTCCTTTTTCTTTCTGTTTCTCTACCTCTTTGTCTTTATCTTCCTCTTCCTCGGTTTCTGTCCTTTTCTTGGTCTATTTCTCTTTCTCTTCCCTTTCTCTTTCTTTTGCGTTTATCCTTGCTCGTGCTCATGCTCTCTCTTTCTCTTCGCTCTTAGTTTATATATATATATATATTTCTCTTTTCCTTTTCCCTACCTGCCTACTAATCTAACAGTCTAGTTTCAGACTGGTTTCAGGCTTTTTTGGCCCACAAAATGTACGTGGCAAAGCTAAAACCCTAGATAATTTGCTACCTTAATGGAAAAACTTGAGATTTCTTAACCCCACCTTGCAATTCAGAAATTTGCGCGAATTCCTCAAGTAAAAACGGATTTCTTATCACACAACATGGCCGTAGTAGTAGTAGTAGTTGTAGTAGTAGTAGTCGTAGTAGTTGTAGTGGTAGTAGTAGTCGTAGTAGTAGTCGTAGTAGTTGTAGTGGTAGTAATAATAGTCATAGTAGGTAGTAGTAGCGGCAGTAGTAGTAGTAGTAGTCGTAGCAATAGTAGTAGCAATAGTAGTAGTAGTAGTAGTAGTAGTAGTAGTAGTAGTAGTAGTAGTAGTAGTAGTAGTTTGGTAGTAGTAGCTGTAGTTGTCGTAGCTTGAGTAGTAGTAGTAGTGGTTACTAGTGGTAGTAGTAGTAGTACTAGTAGTAGTAGAAGTAGTAGTAGTAGTAGTAGTAGTAGTAGTTTGGCAGTAGTAGTTGTAGTTGTCGTAGCTGGATAACTAGTAGTAGTAGTAGTAGTAGTAGTAGTAGTAGTAGTAGTAGTAGTAGTAGTAGTAGTAGTAGTAATACCTGGCATGTATAGAGGGGCGCGCGAAAAACGTACCAGTGTCAGGTTCTTTGCAAAACATGTTTAAAACAAGCGTGAGATAGCGTGTTTCTGCAATTACTCACGCTCTCAATAAAACAAAAGCAGAAAACTTCGGCGAGCATGCCCGGAACACTAGAGACACAGCAGCCTGAGCCAATCCCACCAGTCAGAGCCTGCTCACTGGGCAGAGTGATCCTTCAAACGGGAAGCAAGCACGAACAGACGCGCCAAAGAACGAACCCAAACAGAACCAGAAACACAGACACACAGACACCCAGGCAGAAACGCAGGCACGCACAAGCACGCACAAGCACGCACAGGGCGCAGGCACGCCCAGGCACGCATGCGCGCAGGCACGCAAGCACCCGCGCAACACACAACAACAAACACACACAGCCCCAGACACAGACACAGACCTAGACACAGACCCAGACGCAGACACACACACACACACACAGAATGACACAGAGACACACACACACAGAGACCCCCACACAGACACACACACACAGAGACACCTGCAGAGGCACACACAGACACACACACACACACACACACAAACACAGGCACACACACGCACAGGCACACACACACAGACACAAACAGAGACACAGAATCAGACACAGACACGCGCAGAGAAACACAGACACGCACACAGACACACAAACACACAAAGAGACAACCAGACAATCACACGAAGACACAACACACAAACACACACACACAAGACACACGCACGCACTCACCCACGCACACACGCAAACACATAGAGACTAACACGCATAAACACACAAACACCTACACACACAAAGGAAGCACACAAATGCGCTAACGCAAATGCACAAAGGCACACGCACAAACAGCCACACACACATAGATGCAAACGCAAGCCCGCACAACATGTAAGCAAACGGCAAGTTCGCGCGCGCACGCAGACTCACAGACACACGTGCGCACGCCCACAGAAGCAAAGCGCACGTATGCGCGCGCCCACACAAACACACACGCACACGCATTCACACACAGAGAGACACACACACACACACGCGCAACACACATACAAACACACACACACACACCCAAGCCCAAAAACAAAATCACACGCGCCCACACACACTGAAAGCCACGCAGGACGCACGCAACCACTGCGTGACATCTACGTGCCGAGCACGCTGAAACACGCGCCTTGGCGGGTTTCTGCTTTAAAAGAAAGAAGCTCGACGCAAAGCGCTTTTTGGGAGCAGCGCCGGCTAGAAGAGATTGTCGGAGGCTGTTGGGGCGAGTCCGTAGCACCACAACATCAGGAGTAAGTCAAGTTGCATGGAGAAGGGTTCCAAAGCAACAACACAGCGCCTGCCCAAACATCTTACGCGCCAACAGCTTCGCGCATTTTCTTGAGGCTTGCAATCTCGCACGCACTAGGTTGAATCAAAGCATCCACCCCTTGCCTCGAGCAGGAACCTTCTCCTTCTCCGAGTCATTCGGCCACATCCTCGGAGCTGCTGAAAGCTCCAGAAAAAAACAAGGACGCCGCATGATTTGGGAAACCCTTCTTGCGTTTACTTGTGCTTTCCCTATGCCTTCATGTTTACTCCAGGCTGCAAAGGAGCGCTTGAGAAAAACATAACTCCGTATGGGCTTGTATCAACTACACGTGGCAAGAACGTGTCGTTAGCCGTCGTAGTGGAGCACTTGGACTGGCGTTGTGTGCGGCTTCCCCGGGCAGTCCGGTCAAACAACAACAGACACCGCGCAAGTCTCCGGCAGCCAGAACACAGTTTTCCAACACGTTCGCCCTTGCTGCGAAGAATATAGCGTTGCGCTTCCCAGGGTTACTGTAGGCGTTTGGCATGTTTCGCGGCAGCTGCTTTCTTGCCGGAAAACTGTTGAGTACGTTTGGGGGTAGAAATGCCTGACACTCGTTCGTCCAGATTTTTTGCAGCAGCCTTCTATGGGGCGTCGCACGACGTGGAAAAGACCGTGCTCAAGCCTCCTCCGGGCTACAACTGCGGCGCGCGTCTCGCGCGCGTTTGCTCGGGCGAAGCAGGAAGAGGCCTGCAGCCGAACAGTTTGGAGCTGTCACAAGCAGGGCTCTTATCAGTCGCTGCGCGGCTGCGACGGTAGAACATTGTCCACGGCCGCCTGACTCCAGATTTCTGTTGAACTTGCGTGGCTACTGACGTGGTGCAGGGGCACGTGGGTGGCTGGCGGACCTAGCTAGACCGCCGAGCTGGGCAAGTCTTAGCAACCCAGCCGAACATCAAAGGCGAGCGTTCCACACCAAAGTCGTTGAGGGGAAGGACGCTCAATTCCCGACTAGCGTCCATTTCGATGACTACCACCCCTGCCACAGCCGACTGTCAGGCACGACCTGCGCCAACTCTGAGTCACAGCCGGCACGCCGGTACCCCTGCGCAACGCAGTCACAGGCTGCGCCAGCACCAGCACGTGGTGGAAGGGTGCAAATGACGATGCAGTAACTGAAGATTCAACATCATCAGCATCATCACCATGACGCTTTCTCACCCTCGTGAGTCGCCCTTGTCTTGCTGATATGCGTTTCAAGCGAGGGAGCGCTGGTGATACTGGGGTTGCGTAGTCATGTTTATCATCACGCCTGCTGGTAAGAATGGGGATGCGTAGTGATGTTTATCATCAACATCGTCATCCTCATCGTCATCCTTCTCCTCATGACTGCTGGCGACGCTGGGGGTGCGTGCGACGGCGGAGGCCTGGTGATTGTTTCTTCATCAGCATCATCATCATCACCTCTTCTTTGGTATATGTTCCAAGCGTCAGACCCGACTTGAGACGCAGGGGATGCGTAGGCATGGCTATCATCATGACTGCTGGTGATGCTGGGGACGCATTGTGTTGATTATGATCGCCGCTTGTGGGGGATGAGCAGTGACGATCATCCCTGCTGGTGATGTTGGGGATGTGTAGTGATGATTCACCAAGGCGCTCATCATCATCATCATCATCAGCGTCGCCACACTTATCTTTTTATAGTCATGAAAACATCATGACTGCTGGTGATGCTAGGGCTGGGTATTGGATTGGGTTGGGTTGGGTTGGATTAGATGGATTCCCTGCTTGCATGCAACATTCAGGGCCTCCTACGCTCAGGGAGCAAGAGCTAGCTTGACGTGTGGGGAAGTTGGACGACGCCACCTGGCGGTCTGGTTGGTTATTCCTGTGCCACAACCAGCATTGTTTGTGGGTGTCGGACTGAGGTCCTCCGGGCGCTCCATGAGGAAGGCCCGGGGGAGGGTGTTGGTTCAAATGTGGAAGGCGCCTTTCCTGCCCCCAACTACACCTGGCATCCCACGCTTGGGCAAGCGAGCAGCGCAGGATTGACCACGTCCAGGAACAGTTTGGTCCACCAACAATTGCCATGAGGTTCCCTTCCATTGCCAGCCCAAACAAGCGGCGCAAAGACCTCATCGCGAAGTACATCATAGCCTATGGGGTCTCTGCAGATTTTTGGCGCCAGGATGTGGAGCAACCTGACGCACTGCCTGCTAAAGAGGGCAGCAGGAGGGAGGTCCTCCAGATCATGCGTGTCTTCTTTGGATTGGCGCTTGTGGTATTTCAGCTCCCGGCTTGGGGTGGAGGCCACCAGCTTGTTGAGCTCTATCAAGGACCCGGTAGGGATCTGCGAGGAAGCTGTCGGAGCCCCCAAACTCCACACCCGGCTTAGACTTGAACTTGATGCGGCGGCTGCCCTCAATTCATTTCAGTTTCCGCTGCCAAGCATCGCCCTGTGGCCCACCACCGGTGAGACCTTCAGCTCACTCAGCTTCCGCTTCTTTGAGAAGCTGGGTTGAAGGCCTCAATGGAGCTTTTCCAGCCGGGTGACAGTCAGGGTGGATGTTGCCTGGGTGTGTCCTTGAAGCCGGTGTGTTCGTTCAGCTTGTCCTTTGTACACCTTTCGACAGTCTTCCGGAGGGCGCGCTACCATGTCTCCCTCCTTTAAAGGACGTGGGGCTCGAAGTGGGTGGGAAGAATTAGAGCCGAGAGCGTGCCGAGGGCAGTCCAGTGCTAGCACTTGAGCCAAAGGGGCCCCGATCCATTCCGAGAAAGCTGCAGCGCAGGCGGCAACAAGTTTGGCGAACACGAGGGTTCTAAGTATGTCAAGGGGACGGGCACCCTTTGGGAGAATCCAGACTCAGCTTCTGCTCTAATCATTCTACTTTTTTGAGTTGTCAAATTTGCACTAATTATTTACATAGGCGCGGGGCGCGCTTTAAGGAATTCAAGACTCATGTGTCATAGGCAAGAATTGTTTTCCCGAATGGGGAAGAGGCCCTTGGGGATTCATTGTGAGTATCGGAGTGGTTCTAATGAATCAATCAAAGTAGAATAAGATCAAGACACGTAGCCCTATTTGTTGCTTCTTGTTTGTGCCACAGGGGCAGGTGCCTCTGTGGCAAAGTACTCATTCATCGTGTCTAACTATTCTAGTTGGTCACGGTTGCGCTGGTCGCCTGGTATCAAACACTTTTTTGTTACTTTTCTTCTCAAGTGCTACTTGTCCCCCTATCGACTCAGCGCAACCGTGTCCAACTCGGGGTGGGGGTCGGGGGTTCTGTTCGGCCCCTGCGGTTCTTTTCGCGGCTCGCCAGCTGAGTCCTGGGAAGATGTACAGACTAGTAGCTTGTTGAACGGTGTCAGCAAACGTGGTGTTTCTGGCATTATTATGATGGTGCATTCTGTTGGCCAAAGGCAGCTCGCACCCTAAAAGTGAAGAACTTTCATGGAGCCACCAAAGAACAGAATCCTGTAGACACGTACATGATGTCAGAAGTCTCAAGTTGTCCAAGGCTGATAGATTTCACTCGGCTGATCATGAATGGCAATCATTGAGCGCTTTCTTGCCCCCGCAGCTCCACCGCAAATGTTGGTGTGACAATAATTCGGATGCTAATGTTCATTTCATTTGAAACAAAGAACTTATCAATCCGTGTGGAAACGAAGTCTGGCAACTGCTTCGCCTAATGCTTTGTTGGGGGGCATTGGCAAAATTGTCGCGCAGTCTTGCATGTTGAAGTCTGCCACAAGGCGAGCGAAAAAAGTAAAAAACCCAACGTTTTTGACAGTGACGGCTCCGAAAAAAAAGAAGGCGACTAGCGCAACCGTGACCTTGTAGTTCCAACAAAGTAGAAATATTGACGATATAGCCTAAATAACACCCGGAGAGTTTCTAGCCATTCGAGTTCTTCTAATTGTTCCCACAGAGACGCGTGCCTTCTCAGGAAATCCACATCATTTTGCACAAGTTCCTGCAATCTTTCAAGCTATTCCAATTATTCCCCAGGCGAGGACTTTTTTTGGTGAACCCTAGGTTCATGATTCAATGTATTCTATTCATGTACTCCAAAAGGGGCAGGTGCCTCTTAGGGGAATTCCCGATTCATAGAGTTATAAGTAGCTACTTTTTCCCATTGGATCGAACAACGATGATATGAGAGAACACACAGGGCTATGTTTTGCTATTTGTTCTACCTACCAGTAGAGCCGGCGAACCCGGTGGGCGGAAGTTTCAAAAAATATAAAAACTATAGTTCTCTTTCTCTTTCTTTTCTTGACTCTTTTTCTCTTCTTCTTCCTTTTCATTGGTTTTTTTCTCCGTCATTCTTCCTTTCTTCCTTTCTTTCCTTCCTCCCTTCTTTCCTTCTTTCTATCTGTCTTGTCTTTCTTTCGTTTGCTTGTCTATCTATCTTTCTCTACCTATGTATCTACCTAACTACATATCTATCTATCTCTCTATCTATCTTATCTATCTATATGTCTCTCTACCTCTCTATCTATATATCTACCTATCTCTCTATCTATCCATCTCTCTATCTATCTTTCTATTTACCTCTCCATCTATGTATCTATCTATCTATGTATCTATCTATTGTCTATCTATTTCTCTATCCATCTACCTATCTATCTATCTATCTCTCTCTCTCTCTTTCTATCTCTCTATCTATTTATCTATTTGTCTATCTATCTATCTATTTATCTGTCTATCTATTTCGCGTCTCTATCTTTCTTTCTATTTATCTCTCTATCTCTCTTTCTTTCTATCTCTCTACCTCTTTCTCTATCTCTTTCTATCTATTTATCTATCTATCTATCTATCTCTCCATCTATCTCCCGCGTATCTATCTATTTATCGATCTAGCTATCTATCTATCTGTCTAGCCATCAAGCAATCTATCTATCTATCTATCTGTCTCTCCATCTGTTCATTTTTCTATTTATCTATCTCTCCATCTCTCTTTGTATCCCTCTATCTACCTATCTATCTAGCTCTCTCTCTCTCTCTCTCCCTCTATCTGTTTATCTCTCTATCTCTCTATCTAGCTAGCTATAAAGCTATTTATCTATCCCTCTATCTCACTATCTCACGTGCATTTATCCATCTCTCTATCTCTTTATCTATCTATCTATATTTCTATCTGTCTATCTATATATATCCCTATCTTTCTATCTATATATATCCCTATCTTTCTATCTCTCTATCTATCCATCTCTCTATCTACATCTCTATCTATCTATGTATTTATCTATCTCTCTATCTGTTTATTTACCTATCTATCTACCTATTTATCTCTCTATCTTTCTTTTTATCTATCTATCTCTCTATCTTTCTTTCATTCTATTTATCTATCTCTCTCTATCATTCTCTTTCTATCGATCGATCTATCTATCTATCTATGATTCTTTCTGTGTCTAGCTATCTCTCTATCTATTTATCTATCTATCTGTCTACCTATCTCTCCATCTATCTATCTATCTATCCATCTATGTATCTATCTGTCTGTCTATCTCTATCTATTTATTTATTTATTTATCGATCTACCTATCTATCTGTCTATCTATCTATATTTGTGTCTATCTTTATCTATCTATCTATCTATCCATCCATCTATCTATCTGTCTCTTTGATTTGTCTATCTATCTATCTATGTGTCTACCTATCTATCTATCTATCTACCTATATACCTCTTTATTACCTATCTATCTATCTATCTACCCATCTATCTATCAATCTAGCTATCTTCTTCATCTATCTATCTATCTCTCTACCTCTTTATCTCTCTATCTATCTATCTGTCTATCTATTTACCTATCTATCTGTCTATCTGCCGTGTAGCTATCTGTCCCTCTATCTATCTATCTTTCTTTCTATCTATCTGTGCATCTCTCTATCTATCTATCTATCTATCTATCTGTTTATCTATCTACCTATCTATTTATCTATCTAGCTATCTCTCCATCTGTCTTTATCTATCTATGTATTTATCTTTCTATCTCTTTATCTCTCTATCTATCTATCTACCTATCTGTCTATCTATCCATCCATCTCTCTCTGTCTCTCTCTCCACCTATCTCTTGTGTATCTATGTATTTCTCTACCTATCTATCTATCTATCTCCCTACCTATCTATGAATCTATCTATCTACTTATTTATCTATCAATCTATTTCTATATCTATCTATCTATCTATCCGTGTATTTATCTATCTATCTATCTATCTCTATTTTCTCTATCTTTCATGAATTTAGCTATCCGTCTATCTGTCTATCTATCTATCTCTCTACCTATCTCTTTTATCTATTCTTCCATCTATCTGTCTATCTCTTTCTCTCTATCTATCTATCTATTTTCTGATTATCTATCTATCTACTTGTCTATCGATCTCTCTTTCTGTCTATCTAGCTATCTATCTCTCTGTTTTCTCTATCTTTCTCTATCTATCTATCTATCTATCTATCTAACCGTCTATCTATCTATGCATCTATCTATCTCTATCTATCTAGTCTATCTAGTCTATCTATCTATCTATCTATCTATCTATCTGTGCCTAAACTAGCGAAAGTGCTGTGCCTGCCACGAAATCTGTGCTTGACATTGTGAAAGTGCTGCGCCTGCCACGAATTTGGCGCTTGACCTTGCGAAAGTGCTGCGCCTGCCACGAAATCTGTACTTGACCTTGCGAAAGTGCTGCGCCTGCCACGAATTTGGCGCTTGACCTTGCGAAAGTGCTGCGCCTGCCACTAAATATGTACTTGACCTTGTGAAAGTGCCGCGCCTGCCACGAATTTGGCGCTTGACCTTGCGAAAGTGCTGCGCCTGCCACGAAATATGTACTTGACCTTGTGAAAGTGCTGCGCCTGCCGCGAATTTGGCACTTGACCTTGCGAAAGTGCTGCGCCTGCCACGAAATCTGTACTTGACCTTGCGAAAGTGCTGCGCCTGCCACGAAATTGGCACTTGACCTTGCGAAAGTGCTGCGCCTGCCACGCAACTCAAACCTTGAGAAAAGTTGACCTTGCCAAAGTGCTGCGCCTGCCACGAAATCTGCACTCGACCTCAGCAAAATGCTGCGCTTGCCACGCAACTCAATCCTTGCGAAACCTCTGCGTTGCCGTGCCAATGGTCCCGGCGCCGAGCCCGCTCCGAGACCGCTCCGAGACCGCTCCGAGCCCGCTCCGAGCCCGCTCCGACCAGACGCCGCGGACAGGCTAGCTTTCGCGTCTCCGGAGACGCCAATTCACGCACAGCGCCACGCTTTTTGCGACTTTCTCATCTCCGAAAACGCCGATTCACGCACAGGGCCATGTTTTTTGCGACATTCTCTTCCCCTGCCACACGCGCGCGCGCATTTTTCCTCGTGGGCTTAATCCTTCTCTTGTCATTTGTCTGAGAGAGCTAGGTTTCAATTAGTTGCCGTAACACGGAAGTTCCTTCTAAACTTCCTTTGACTATACTTGTTCTCAACGGGACAGGTGACTTTTTGGGAATGCCAGATTCATGTTTGCTCCAACTCTCCGGCCCTCCTAATAGTTTCACTATTATCCATTCTCAAAGCGGCGGATGCCTTTTGGGCGAGCTCCTGGTTCATGTTTGCGCCGATTGTTCTAACTTTCGAATGGTTCTGACTATTCCTCAAGGGACGGGCGATTTTAGGAATTCAAGATCCATCTTGCTAATTATTCTACCCATCGCAATTCTACCATCTCTTCTAATTGTAATGATTCGGGTGCCTTGCGGAGCCACTTCTTATAACTGTTCCAATTCTGCTTCTTACTCACAAGGGACGGGTGCCTTCTAGGAAATTCAACGTTAGTTTTGCGAATTATTGTACGTGTCAGAACTGCTTTCATTACATACTCTAGTTAATTTTAGTGGTGGGGGGGGGGCCTTTTGGAGAATTCCGTTTTTTGGATACTTTTATCAAACGTGATTTTGGCGAATTCCATGTTTCCGCCGCACTGTTTGTTCTGTTCGATTGAATCATTCCCAAGTGAACAGCTTTTTTTGGCGAGTCCCAGGATATGTTCCTAACTGTTCTAACTGTTCCCAAACAGGGAGGTGCCTTTTGGTGAGTTCAAGTTTGACGTTTGCAAATTACTTTACTTATCACCAGTCTTCTATTCCCAAAGGATGGGTGCCTTTTGGGAGCTCCAAGTTCCACTACGCAGCCACTATATGGCCTGGTTTGGGGGTAGTAGTAGTGGGCACCGACGCGGAATATTGTTTGCACGTGCGGAAACTTAGCGCTTTGTTTTCACGCACGCCCGCAGCTGCTTGACACATACAGACTTGCACAGCTACACACACACGGATGCTGTGTTTCATCTTGTCACCCCACACCATGCCAATGCTCAGGAAAGTACGTCTTCATTCCACGCGTGTCATCAGCTGCTCAGCACATACAGCGTGTGGGAGACAATCTTCTTTCTTAGTCTCATTTACTTCTTCCTTTTTGCGCTTGTGAAAGCTCAGGCTTTGTTGCACGGATGCCATCGGGCATCTCACGCATGTCATCGATTGCTCATTCCAATTCTGACTTGTGGAAAGAAATTGCACGTGCTTCTTCTTATCCGTTCCATAGGGTTAGCTGTCAATTCTCACACGTCGAAGCCCTTGAATTGTTCCACGCGTGTCATCAACTGCTTAGCACGCCGGCTGCTCGGCACGCAGAAGTTGTGAAAGCATCTTGCCATTATACACGCACATACATGAAACTGTCCTCCCCAGCAGCAGCATCCAACTAAACCACGCCTTGAGCGTTAAACGAGACCAAAGGCCTGCGCCATCCTACCCCCCCGGTGCTTTTTAGAGCGCGCGTGGGACCGACACTAATGAGAAACTGAAGTGCGTTGATTCCCGCTATCACGTTGGATACCCCATAGATTCGAAGTCAATCAACTGCTAACCGTGACTACGCGCCGCTGCAGCCCAAGCCGGGTCCAACGGACACTTGGAACGTAGATCGAAAAAGGAACGACAACGATGATGGTGGGCACCATGATCATGATGCTGACGATGATGACTCACCACTACACAACCCCAATCGTGCTGGTGATAATCATCGTTATACATCCCCAGCATCGCCAGCAGTCGTGAGGATACTCATGACTACGCGCCCCCTGCGTCTCAAGCCGGGTCGATCTGGACACTTGAAACGTGTATTAAGGACGACGACAATCATGACGATGAGCGCAGGATGATGATGATGCTGTGGAGCAACACATATGAGAACCCCTAAGGCTTTCTGCAGAACAGGAAACCTTTGGATCAGTGTTGGCTTTGCCAACGCCAAACACAAAGCTATAAACAAAACGCCCCTGATCTGGACTCAGTCCACCTGATTCAACCCCAAGTTTGGCACGGGTTCGGACGCAGGTACTTGCAGGCAATGCTCAGGGCAAGCGCGCCCGCATGTGAGTGCGACTCTGAGTCAACATGCGCAAGGAGCACAATGCGCTGAAGCTAAGCCCGTCTCCGCACGCGCGCTGAGTGTCGTGGCACAGTCAGCTCCAATCCCTCCTGCGCTTCGTCGATGTTCAGCAGGTGCAACTCATCATGAAACACGCATTAAACCGTTGTTAACAGTGCGCTTTTCGCCTTCAAAACTGGTCACCATATTCAGCGTGCAAATGAAGGTCGCAGCATCGATTTTCCAACTTGGTGCGCTGCCAAAACTGAGAGGCGCCCACCCTTTTCTGGGCCTAAGACTGCCCTCAACCTGTTTCCCTATGCTGCGCTCCTAGCCCCCGGCTCCTTAAATCCTTGATGAGCTGCGATGCGCTCGAGACACTCTCGGTGAATCCGGGCATCAAAGTCTCCAATCTGGCGCAAGGCGGGTTCGGACGGTGGATCTCAATGCCTGTCTCTACTTACAAAAGCATGAAGCTTGGACTCGGGACTTGGTCTTATTGCCACGCCCGATCGACACAACCTGATGAAGAGCCAGGGGCCACTGAGAAAATAAGTGCAGCAAAGCACGCCGCACGCAAAACAGGTCGCCTCTCGTGCCACGCCGGCTGCAATAATCTGGTCAGCCTGGCCGGGCAGGCGAAGCAGGCCAGTCTTCTGCCTTGGTTGGTGAGTCAGTCGTGCCTTGCGCGTCATCAACTCCATGATGTCGTGGCACCCCTGGCGGGCACCAAGCTATCTGCGCAACCAAATTTGAAGGCTGAGATGGACCAACCCCCCTCCGCAGAAAAATGAAAAGAGTACTATAAGCGCCCTCCGCGCAGGGTGGGTTTCAAAATGCTTGAACCTGTCGCGCCTTGGACACCACCGCCCAGGCATCATCAATGCGATACCTCAGCTGGCTCGCCACACCTGTCCCTCGGTTTCTCATCGGGACGCTCCTCAAAAATAGACATGTTTCCAACAAGGTTAAGAGCCACAGCATTCGCCACCCATGACTCGAGCACCTTTGTCGTTCTGAGGAGCAAGATGCCTCTTCCACTGAGCTCGTGCGCCAGAGGATCCACGTCCTTGGTTGCAAAACCTTCTCTGTCCTCGTCCCTGGTTGCAGTCAGAGCTATTTATTTTACGTACGTTATCTATCCTATCTGCCCAATCTGTCCTATCTATCTTATCTATCATACCTATCACGGCGACTGTTTTCTTTTCATATACTATCCTGTCTTGTTATATCTTAACTTATCTTAGCCAGTGTTTCCTATCGTATCCCATCGTGTCCCATCTTATCCCATGGCATCCTATCTTATCCTGTCTTACCCTATTGTATCATGTCTTATCCTGTCTTATCCTGTTTGATCCTATGCATCTGTCCATCTACCTGCCTACCTATCAATCCTATCTACCCTATCGTTCCTATCTATATCAGCGTGTATAGCTTGTCTATTGTTTATATTCTATCTGTCTGGTTTAATCTATGTCTTATCTACCGTGGCTATTTTATTTATCATGTCTATCCTACCTACCTTATCTGCCTTGTCTACCTTAGCCTACCTTAACCTATCTTGTCGTATCTTTTGCTATCTTATGCAAAAGGCTGGACCATGCAAGGGATACGAATCAGGCAGAATCGAGTTCCTTTACTTGGCGCCTGTTTAGGTGGTTTCCATTGTGTACCAAATGCAGAGATACTCCAATGTCAGCATCAACGTCCTTGTCACTTATTCAGCAGGCTCTGCTGTCAGCAAAAATGGCACTCCTCCTTGCGATTGCTTGAGTGGCCCATGACCACCCCACAAAGCTTTGCGACTTGTTACAAGCCCAACGAGGATTCCAAGCTTGCTGCTCTACTCCGCAAGCTCAGCGCCTAAAACGGATTCCTCCTTGAGCAGCCATCTTGAGTGGCCTGCTTGAGCGACATCCCCCCCGACCTGCCTCAAGGCGGTCCGGCAGGGCGGCCAGCACTCCGCACACCTGTCCGGGAGGGCCCTTGGCAAACTTGCACATGCGTTGCGCAGCGCGTGAAAAATTAAATAGGCGCGCGCGATATGTGCGTGTACACTCTGGTATACGTTTTGCGTACTGCGCTAACCGACTTGCTGCAGTAGTTTCGTTCACCACACCTTTCCTTCATGTTGCGTTGATTGCGCACGGCGGGTTTACAACACGTCTACTTGCTCTTCCCGCCGAGGTGCAAGTGTAGCATGTGCAATAACCTTTGGCAGCCCTAGATTGAAATCAGAACTTTTCAGCGCAAGTGCAGCAGGCAACTGTGGCTGGCGGTTTCAGCTCCCCGGCTGAAACTTTCCAGCGCAAGTGTGGCGCGCGCACTTTTGCCGCACCTTTGTAGCCAAAGCGCTGTTGCAGAGTACGCAGTTGCAAGTCTAGTTCGGCACTCGCAACTTTTCAGCATCAGTCCTATGAGTCTCTTGTGTCTAGATGTTGGGTGCGACGTCCGGCGCGATGTCTGAAATTACCAACATTGCGATCATCATCATCATCATCGTCGTCGTCGTTCTAGACTTTGAGTGTGACGCTAGGCACAAGACTGCAAATGGTACCATCAAGACCCAGCATCAAGAAGTCTGTATCCCCGCAGCCCGTGCTAGGGCACAGACATTGAAAGACACGCCCAAAGCCTCGACTCTCCTAGCTCTTACATCACGATGATCCTTATCATAGACATCATTATAAAGATCAAGTTAACTGTTGCTAACTGCAATAGTAGCCTACATCTCATAAACTGCTGTGTTGGCTTCCGCGTGGCCACGCGCGCGTTCCATCTCGATCCGGAATCAGAAAATCTGTGTCCCTGCAGCCCCTGGTGCGATACAGTCAGTCATTTGTTCAAAGCCTCGCAATTCTCTTGCGTCTAGATTTCGGAGGTGATGTTGCTCATCATCGCGGTCATCATCACAGTCGTCACCGTTCTCTTGCAGTTAGATTTGAATGTGACGCGCGGGTGGTAACATCAAGAGCCAGCATCAAGAAGTCTGCCACCCTTACGTTCAAAGCCTAGACCCTCCTGAACTCCTCTATTGAGATCTTGGATGTCACATGAGGCGCCGCTTGCTGCGTAGGGGGTCTATCACATCATCAGCTGGGGATGCTAGAGGTGTCGCGATGATGATCGTCGCGACGATGCGGGTGCTGGACAAGCGCTACGACGAAAGTCATCACTCATCATAGTCACTTTCAATCATATTCACCAGCACAAAGATCATCATCGTGACGATTAGCGTCATCCGCTCGGGGGGCGCGATCATCGTCATACATTTCAAGTGTTACGTTAGACATCACTGGAGTTGCAAACGATGTTCCGATGAAAGCACTCATCAGTGCAGGGGCTTCTACGATGATGGTTATCATCATTATCATCGTTATGGTAAAATCCATCACCATCATAAGCTGGGGGTACAGACATGTACACGCTCACAGCTTAGAATCCCCTAGGCTCATACACTCAGATTTTGGACTATCACCATCACTATCATCGTCATCGTTGTCGTGAACATGGTCACCCTCGCTGCTTGCAACACAGATGGTGTTCTCGCATCATGTTCATCCCACGATAAGCCGTCATCACCATATCATAATCATAATTTATGTGTAGGCACGCACCTGGGCCCTGCGATCGTGCTAGAGTTTCCGCGGCTAGTTGTGGAATTTAAAAGTACTGATATAAGTTCCGCAACATATGTTGTAAGTCCCGCAACTGGTGTTTTACAAAACATAACCACACATCCCCCTAACTACCAGTTACGTTACTTAGGGTCTACTTCTTTTGTTTATCATAAAACCTAGTTATGCTAGTTATGCTCCTTATGGAAAACGGTTGATTTGTTGGTTGTGTCTGTGTAAAAAAAATGGGAGCAATAACATGGCGCTTCGGATGCTTTTTTGTTTAAATGATGTTTGTCTTTTTCGTGTTTGCCACGTCTGCAATGGATAATTCATAATCCATTGCTAAGACTGCATAACTGTTGCGGGAAAGGCTTGTGGTCACAAGCAACTTGTCGCGCCACGAACTTGTTGGCGCACACCCACTTACGTGGTCGCACTTGTCATCTGTTCCCGCAGGTGTTGATGACATGGCCACACAACATGCTCATACACTATCATACACTTAGAACATGAGCCTTACAAAAGTGACGAAGAACGACAAGATAATTGCACATACAAATTGCAGGAATGTAAGCTTCGCATTTAAGGCGGGTGTTGAAACATGTTAAATTGAAATTAAGATGAAAATAACATGAGTTTAAGCCGAAATGAGAGACAACTTTTAAACTAAAATAAATAAAGTCTAACATGAATTTAAAATGAATGTTAGATGGTTTTGAAATGAATTTAAAATGATTTTGAGACAGATTTAAGATGGGCTCAAGATGTCCTAGCTAGGTTGGGTATGATTTTAGATTGTATTTGTTTGCACGGTTTGGACTATAATCTGCCATGTTGAAAATCATGTGTCTGCTACCAGGATGCCATATGGATTTTGTTTCGTCACGCCTGCCAAGATGACACCACATAGTACTTTGAAAGTAGGTGTTTCGCTGGCGACACCAATCAACCAGCCTAAGTCAGGCACGAGTTGGGCGCGTGGCACGGGCGCTTGCCAAGGGTGCGGGGGCACGGGCGGCACAGGCGCGCGCCTATACATCGCACCCGTACCCCGCACCCGCGCTCATGATGCGTACCAACTCGCCGCACTTGCCACACATACCTTGTTTTTTGAGTTTTCTTCACACAATACAGCACTACTCTTGAAACTAGCCAGCTCGTCATCGTGATTACGCTCGTCGTGATTATATCAGCACGGTCATTGCGAGCATCATCATTGCGACACTCACCATTGTCGCCAATATCTTGTGTATAGACTGGATGTTAGGCGCAAGGACGCAGATGGTAAGCATCGTGATGCAGCATCAAGAAGTCTGTCTGTGTCCGCGCAGCCCCTGCTGGGACACAAGCGTTCGTATGTTCCAACCCTTCGCTTTTCTGGGCTCTTACATTCAGATTTTTGATGCCACATCAGGCACCGCTTGGAAAGGTGCGCAATCATCATCACCATCAGCGGGGATGGCACGATGATTGCAACGACGATGAGGATGCTGGGGAGGTGCTACGATGATTCACTCATCATAGTCAGCATCATAAAGATCGTCATTACGATGATTCTCATCGTCCGCCTGCAATGCCGGGGATGCTATCAGACACCCGTGGCGTTGCAGAGGATGTTCCGATGAAAGTTGTCATCGCCGCTGGAGATGCACAGGCCGCTATGATGATAGTGATCACCACCATTATCATCATCGTAGTAAGGCATCATCACAGTCATCATCGTCTCTTTCCTATAAACCTTCTTTCAGGTGTCACAAGAATCGTCATCTTTCTTACATAGATATTTCAAGTGTCACGTTGGGACGCAGAGGATGCTACCGCCACTGTAGGGATGCAGAGGATGCTACGATGATAATTGACATCATCATCGTCATCACTATCATCATGATCGTCATCAACATCGTCACTGTCTCTTTTTAAACACGCGTTCCCAGCGACGTTAGACATTGGTGGGGACGCAGAGGGTGCTGCTATGATAGTTTCATCCTTATTACCATCACCGTCATAGCCAAAATCGTTTCTTTCCTATACCCACATTTCAAGCGACACGTTACGATGAAAGCTTTCGCCGGAGCCGCTGGGTGCAAAGGATGCTACGAAGATAGTTACCATCGTCATTGTCGCAACCATTATCATCGTAATAGCCCTCCCTGCCTCTTTCTTCTACACACATATCAATCGTCTTATACTCACGATTCAGGTGTCAGGTTAGACTGCAGAGGATGCTACGACGATGATGCAGAGGGTGCTACGATGATACTCGTCATCATGGCCATCATGGTGTCTAGCTTATACTCACATTTCGGCTGCGACCCTGACATCGCTGGGGCACAGAGGACGCTACCAAGATAGGTGCCATCGGCGCCACTGAGCGAGCAGAGGGTTCTACGATGAAGCTGCAAGAGGACGCTACAATGAAAGTTACCAATATCGCCACAATGACTGTCTGCGTCACCATCATAGTCATCATCGTCTCTTTCTTGGCTTCGCAAGTGTTGCGCCTCACCAGCTGGCGTGGCTCCCCCCCGCTGGGCGAGGTTGCTATGTGTGTGTGTGTGGATTATGTTGTTTAGCTAGCAACATGTAGGATTTACTTTCAGACTTACTACGTGCTCGAAAATGCTGCAACAAGGCCTCCGAAGTTAAGAGTTTACGTAAGTTAGCTAGGCTTTCTAACCTCCAAAAAAGAGATTGATTGAAGCCCTTTAGCTCCCAAAAAGAAGAAGAAGGGACATGTCTGAACGGTTGAACTGCCGCACATCCGCTAAAAAAGGGTGATGTACTTCACCCAATGCATTGGCGCGGAAACAAGCCTGGCGCCAAAGGTGGTGCTTTTCAATTCGAAGCATGCTCTGAGGGCACATGCGCCGAGGTCTTTGACCCAAGGCGACTTTTTGGTCTTTCAACTTTTGTTGCAATGTCTTTGACACTACATAGATTTATCCATTTTGGTGGCGCTGGCGAGACTTGGAGCTCACGACATGTTCTTCGCTCTGCACCGCCATGCGAAAGTTCGGCGGCGCCTCCTGCACCACAACTTCCCATATCTGTTGACTTGCTTTGGAGGTGTGGTTTGCGCTGTTGTAAATCTCATTGAGCTTGCGCTCTTGTTCCTCCAGTCTAGCCGTGGCCTGCGCTTTGCCTGGCCTGTCCATCCAAGATTGCTCTGTCAAGTTGGGGTATGGGCAAGGCATACGCAGGATATGTGTCTTGAGATTTTGCAATCTTGCTGCAGGCAAAGAAGCTCCGCCAGAAAAAATCACGATCTTGTGGAAATTCTGAGTCACTGGCGTTGCCGCAACTCGTTGGCGCATCCGAAACTCTGGTTGCTTGAAAATTGTCTGGAGGCACTGGAGATTCCTCAACGTCCTCGTCGCGCCAACCTGTGATGCGCTTCTTCCAAATGTCAATGAGAACCCGGTGAACGCGCTAAACTTCGGCAGATGCTGAAAACATTGGGGGCTTCGCAAGATTCTCGGTAGAAGTCTCTGAGTTGGAGCACGCAAATGGTTGTGTTTGACACAATGCCAATGACTGTGTTCAATTTCATCTGGAACATTGCATGTCGTGCAGTTCACTGATGCTCTGCAACGCGGCGGCCATCTCTTGAAGGAGACATTAGGAATGCAATGAGAACCCTATTTCTCGGAATCATGAAGCAAGGCCAGCGCCGACGCTGGGCCGGCTAGCAGCAATTCCAGGAGGCTCCGAGCCCCAAGTTACCTTGGCTTTTTTTGAGCTAAGATGGCCCCCGTAAAGCCGTGAAAAATCGGCCGAACGGCCGTGACAACTCCCGCGGGAAACTGAAAGTCTGTTACTACTCCGTGAAAAAGCCGTGAAAACTCGTGAAATTTCATGCTCTGAGTTCTCTTGCCCTCACGACACCAAGAACCTTCTTAGCTCATGCGGCCTAAGTAACTCGCGAATCGGAGCCTCCCGGCTTATTGCCAGTGATGTAAACGTAAATGCCAAGTTGTTCGAAGGGCATGCTCCCATGTGTGATCGGTGGGAGCGGCTTGTAGGATGTACTACTGTAAAGGGGCAGCAAAAAACTGCATCACAATGCAGCTGTTGAGCTCTCTTTAGAAGCCCCCACTGCTGCGCGGTGTGGCCATATAGATTGTTCATCAAGTATTGCTTTTTGCCCTGGCACTGCGCAGAAGCGTTGTAGCGCTCGTAACCCTGAGAAGTTCAAGGCAAACGCTTGCTCCAAAGTTGGCATGACGATTCTAAAGTGAACAAGACCATAGGGTTGAGGCGGTGGTCTCGGATCTGAAGAAGCACATCTCGAAGAGGGGATTTGCAAGTCATGCGCGCCTTGTCCCCAAACCAAGCGACTCGTCAGCTGCTGTTGGTTTGGAGCCTGGCGCGCCAGCCTAGTGGAAGTTGCCCCACGAGCCAACTCGCTTTTGCATGAGCGGTGTCCAAGACGATGACTGACCCCAGTTAAGGCTGCCTCCAACCAAGCACAAGCTGTCTTTGTGGTGGTATGGCAGGCACTGAGTCTGCATAATGAGCCTTGCCGTAAGTGAAGCACTTAAACGGGCTCAAATAACCTCCGCGCAGGCCAGCAAACTTCTGAACTGTGTCATGCGTTGCACGTAGGGTGGTTCGAAGGTGGTTGATATCGGCGCTGATGACAGTTGTGCTGATGTCGTCCACGTAAACACGCGGCGTTACTCGCGCAGGAACTCTTTTAAAAATATCCATTCAGAAGTCTCTCCATCCAACAGGCAATCAGGCTGGCAAGCAAAAAGTTGCTCAGGGGAGCCCTTTGATGGGCGGTATTCCTGCGTAAAGGCATGACCAAGTATGAGCAGCATAAAACGCGCCAAGACCACGAATGATAGCAAAGTCGTAAGAAAGGCCAGCGCCATAATCGAGCAGGTAGCTGACGTTGATTGCCATGTCGTCGGCGCTTGTCCGCTTCTGAGAGCGTAAATCTCTCAAGGAAGCACCATCAAGAGCCATGGGTTTAGTTGGCCACATCTGCTCCGGCTCCACAAGCGGTATAACGCGCACTTTCAGCCTGCCCCTGAGCATTGAGACTTTTAGCATGGCAACGTGCCCACGAGTTCATGTTTTTTGCCGTTTCTCAAGTCGTTCACACGTCGACATGAGCTCTGCAAGAAATTGAAAAACGTCGGGACAAGTTTGGTTGAGGAGGCGGAGGTCCTGAGGCCGCCAACCGTCTAAACCAGCACAGCTAGGTGTTGCGGTCTTGACGGTTTGCAGAAGTTGCTGCTGTTACGCTGCCCAAGTCAAACTGCTCACGAGACATGTAAGGCCCGTAATGCTGTAGAAACTCCCACTTTGAAGGCGCCCGTAATTTCAATTACCTCGTCCCAGGCTGATAAGACTGCACAAAGCTGTCAGTTTGCGTCGATTGCGCATGCGTTCCCAGAGAAACTGTTTCCGCCACGCTGAAGCTTTGCTGACATTGGAATGCGTCTTCTGTGACTGCTTGGAACAAACCTGCCAGCTCGGACGCTGCGTGGGGACTTGGCGAAGTCTTCAGAATTTGGGTCACGCACACGCCGACAGTCAGTTTCTTGGCCAAGGAGTGCGGTGATTGGTCGCTCCTGCAGCTCCAAACATCCGGAGAACACAGTGCGCAAATTGTATTCAAGTCCATCAACAGCGCAGCAAAAGCATTGGCCCAGGCCAAAGCAAAAGCAGCTTCGCAGGGGAGCAGGCCAAAGGCCGTCAGTCTCCGTCCCGTTCGCTCGGGCGGCAGCAGAAAAAAATCTTGGGCATCATCATGCCCCGCCACAGCAGAGACGCCAGAGCCGCAGCGCTTCAAAAATCTGGAGGCAAAACACAGTCTTTCACAGATTTTCTGCAGGATGAACTGCACAGTGCGAGGAGGGTGCCTTCTCCCGTTACACCCTTGTCTTCTACATTTTGGTTCGGCCTCGCCAGGCGAGGCTGGGATTCAGCGAAACGTGCCAGGCATTCAAGAGCAATGCGCGCGGCGCATGGAATCACAAGACCTTCCTGTTGCTTCTTTCAATTCAGACGGCCTTTCCACTCCAGGCAGGTGGGCCACTTTGATACAGTGCGACAATGACGTTTTGTGTCTCCAGAAGACACATCTGGATGCTTTTATTTCCGCTGCGGCCAGCCGCCAGCGATATGGCACCTTCATTGGACAACTGAGGGTACGACATTGTGACGGCAGACCACTCTTCTGGAACCAAGGTGGGCAAACTCCGCAATTGCGCTTCCAATGGCATGGCCGAACGAATAGCTTGCACAATGTCCTGATCCCCAGGCTCTTCTTCATGCCTATGCAAAGCAGATTGCAACGGTGCTGCGAGTAAAGGAGCAGATACATTAGCTGGCACATACGCCTGCTGAGCCACCCTGCTCTTTCCCTTTACACTTCAATTCCAGGACCATGCGCCAACCAGATTGGCTTAAAGACGTGAAAGCCTGTCAAACTCCATTGCGCAGGACAGTGAAGCTCAGCAGTGTTGTCTTTTCTCACAGCGCTTGGGCTTCTAAGGATTCATATGAGAGGAACCAAGACTTTGCACTCATCCTCCTCACTGAGCAATATGGAAGCTGAGTCACGCCACACAGTTTGGTCAACCTTCCTGAAAGTCATACTTCACCAGAGCCCACTCAGATACCAAACGTGGACCCAGGCCTGACCAAGCCTCACCAGCGCCTCGAAAAATGCAGAGGCGACCTGTCTTGCGTTTACCACCATGCTGCAAAACCAGTGTAGCGCAAGTAACTCCATGTCATAAACTGCTGCGGCTTAGGGTTGCACTGCTGTTCCAGCCTCATACCTGTGGTGAAGTTCCTTGATGGTCTTGCGCTGTCTTTCTTGTACAAAGCATGATGGCAGCTGATCAAATGTTTGCAGATGCTTGGGGAAATGTAATAACCAACGGAGCTTTGTGTGCGTGCAAGCATCCAATTTGCAAGCCAGGCCTGCTTCCAAGAAAATGTGAACGCAGCGCCTCCACAATTCTGGAGTATTGCATCCATGGGGCACTGCCTGCGCATAATCTAGCAAATCTGCAAGGTGCACAAACGCCACGCGCTCCAAAGCACATGCGCCTGCTGGCACGATGGTAGGTTAAACGAAAACATGCAACGATGCAACACAAGCCAAGGGCCTCACCCGCGCGCTTGAAAGCGTTGGCCTCCTGTTTCGGCGCAAAAGGAACTGCCGATTGGAATGCTGGAAGTTTCCACAGCCTCACACAGTCCTGTAGCACCTTGCGCCGATCATCCGCGGCCACAGTTTCCAACATGGAAATTCCTAGCACCGCCTCATCTGAATAATATACAAACTCCTACGCAGAAATGCCAGCAAGTTGCTCATCTGCAAGAACATGTCAGTCCCATCCAGGAGAGTCAATCATTGGCCCATAAGTACTAAGCGAGGGGGTTGCGCAAGGAACATGACATTCCTGCCTGCTAAGCAAGGAAGCTACGGAGCTTGGTGTCCATTGCCTTTGTGTCTGTGAGGGCTGTCACTCGCAGAAGCTTGGCATGAAAACAGCTCTCTGAAAGAAAGCGCAAGCGGCAAAGTGCAAACATGAAAAGGCAGCCCGCACACAACACAAGCACCTTTTTCAACGCGACAGCTGTGAACATCAAAGTTGCCCCCGCACCCAAAGCAAGGTTATTTCCCGGTGGCAGGCCTTCACAGACTTGGCCTTGCGGCGGTGCTTGGACGCCATGCCTCGTAGGCTCATAGGCCGGCCTTCTTCTTACTGGCTGCCACAGCCTTGGGTTTGCAAACTGCTTTTGCCTCAAATGTAGTGCACTCAAAGTCAACAGCCTCATCTTGTTCTGTCCAGGCAGCATCGTTGGGCTCTTCAGGGCGCGCCTCTCGCACCTGGTCCCCTTTTGCTCCCGCTCCTTAAATTTGTATTGCAAAAAAGTTTGCTCTGTTGCCTGGGCATGCTTTGTTTGGGAGGCCCCCTGTCTAGCACCATTTACACTGGTTGGCCCGCTGCCAGCTGTTGCATTTGCCACAGAAAGGACAACATCCATGGTCCTTTCATGCAGTCTGCGCATCAGCAAAATGAAGCTTTTTTGCCACAAGTTCGTGAATGGGCTATTCAAAGTGTCCAACCCAGTTTAGGTAAGGTAGGGCTGCGTGTGTGGCGCAACTGGAGCCTCATCGCTGAGGAATGTTCCACTGCAGCAAACCATCTTGTGCTCCACTGATTGTTTCACACCATCGGCCACCTTGCAATCTCCAAGATGCTGATCTATGGCTTCATAGAAGATGATCCGTGGCCAACTTGTCAATCTTCATTTTGGAGACCTCCTCCGCAAGGCAAGCTTGAAGCAAGCCTAGAGGCTGAACCCAGCTTGTGACACAGGTGATGTGTGCAAAGCGCTCGTGCCATGGCACCCATCAAGTTCAAGCTCACAAGCTGAAGTGTTCGCCGTGGCGTAGTGCACATTCAGCGATCGCTGATGTCATTTGCGCGCAACAACGCAAGCTTGCTTGCGCATGATTCTGGCTTGCAGTGGCTAGCTACATGCATGCGTTGACTGCTCAGCAAGCACATTTTTCTCCCATACATCACCAAACTCACAATCTAGCTCTTGGCTCAAACGCCCCATCATAGAACAAAAGGCGTTTGCCTAAACCTGCTTCCAAGACCAGAAGCAACCTCCAACTGGCTGCTTGTCTGCAACAAAGCAGGCGATGCTCTGGCTAACGTGTGCTGCCAACTACCGTTTGGGCTAGAAACTCTGCACCTACCTGGTTGATTTCATTCCAGTTCACAGACATGGGAAAGCCACCACTCCATTCCAGGCCCTACAAGAAAAACATTGCGGTTGCAGAAGCCACCTCCATTGGCTCTATTGTCAACTAGAAACTGTGGGCGCAAGCGACACATACAGCCTCATCACACATGTAAGCAACACATGACCACAAGCTGCCGTGTAGCCGCTTGCTTCTTTGCGTTCCCTACACTCGCAGTGTGGCCTTTCGATAACACGCCCTGCTCGCGTTTTCCAATCTACGGCTTCTCTCCTCCAGCCTCGGAGCCAGAGGATTTCGCCCCGCGTCTTCCCCGCGCTGGAAACGCTCCAAAGCAAAAGGATAGCATATGTCCGCGCGTATCATGCGCGCTGCAGCTACGCGAGCCAGCCCCGGACGAGTTGGCAGCTGGTCGCGTGACACCCCGCTTCTAGACAAGATTGTCCATCGCGGTGTGTGCGCGATTCAAAACACAGCGGAAGTGCCGCGCGTCGGGCGCGGGACGCGGCTTTCACCTTGCCACCGGCCGCAGTGTCTGGCACTTGGGCCGCCGTCGAAAACACCCTAAACTGAAAGTGTCGCGGAGACAGATCCAGTTAAGTCTGTAGGATCTCTGCTTCCCCATCAATCCGGGCTCGTAAGCGCGTCTGTCCTTGAAAAACCGTCGAAAACCTTTTTTTTTGCAAACGTGTCTGCTCGCAAATTGAGTTTTCCGCAATACGATGGCTCCATAAGTTCCAGCGAGCCAGTTTCCAAGCCCTGCGAGCTACGTAACTTCTTCCATCCTAACGCACCTATGTTGCTTAGCTGAGTGGGGTGTAGTTCCCTGCGACTAGCACTTCACTTAATTGACTTATAGCGAAGTTAGAGGCGCCAGCTCCCTGCAGCTTCTCATGGTTGGGTGAGCGGCGCTGCCGCCTTTGTTGTGTGTGAGTGGTTCTGCTGCTTTTGCTGCCCGTGAGTCAGCTATTTGTATAGCGTCACACACGGTTTTGCTACGATGAGTCTGAACCCCTGCACACCTCCCGCGTCCCCGACAACTCCGACACACTCAGCCCACCGCATCTATAGGGCGCAGGCAGCATCTGCTTTTGCGCTTTTCTCTTGGGGGGCGCAGTGTAAGTGGTTGCGCCGCTTTGCGAGGCCTGCGGCGCGGTTCAGGGAGTCTACCCGTGTGTTTTTGAAGTCGGGCTCCTCTTTTTGACGCTTGGTGCGCTTTCCAGTCATCTTTTGCGTCCAGCTGACTTTAGTCTTGAGGATAAGTTCTACAACTTCACCCTTAGTCCCAGTCCTTAGGTATAAGAGCACTTAAGACTACCATAAACAAGCCAGGGCCAGCGTTTTGCCCCGCGTCATCTGCGTGTCTAGCGCCTGGGCGGGTGTGTTCGTGGCGCCGTCGACGTCCTCGGCGGCCCCTGTATTCGCATCGCCTGCGCGGCCTGCGCGCCCGTGGTTGCGCCGCGCTGCGGGCCACCTTCCCCAAGCCCGTTCATGCGGCGCGCTCTTGCGCCGCACGCGTGTACTAAACACACCGTTTGGTTCGACTCCAGCGCGCCACGAGTTGGCTAACTTCTCGCATTTTCAGGGTTCACACGCAAGTCAGTTTAGGCAACTTACGCAGGTGCAGAGGACGCACAAATAAACACCAGAGCCGGCCTAACCAGACGCTATTTACAACAGCCGTGACTAGTACCTGTTTGAACCGGCCATTGTTTACTCAAAAGGAAACGCTAGCGAGATCTGAAGTCGCTCTGAGGCATGTTTGTTTCGCAAACAATGTTTCTATTGATGACATCACTGTGTGGGGCCTGAGTCCCCCCCTGGCAAGGGACGCTTGCGCAGGCAGCGCTTTTGCTGTTTCAGTCGGCTTGCTGCAGCGTCAAGTGCGCATGTGTGGCAAGCTTTTGCAAGAACTGCAACCGCTTCAAGGCGTCACTTTCGCAAACGCATTTTGTTGTGAATGTAAGCATCACGCGCCGCATTTAAAAACTTTGCGCGAGGGGGGGGGGGTGCTGCAGTGTTTCGCACGTGCAAATTAGCTTGTTGATTTGGCTGCATTTTGGCCTGAAACGGCGTAAGTCTTGTGTAGGGCGCCTGTCCAGCCCGAGCGCTTGACAAAGAGAGGGATGCCACTTCTACAAGTTTCTCAAAGTAAGCTTTTTCCCGAAAGGCCGCACGAATATCCAAGCTCGCCAAGGCCCAGCCACCCGACAAACGCACCCGCAAGCAAACAAACGATAAACAAAGAGACAGACGCAGAAAGCACCAAACACGCAAAGAATCTTACCAAACCAACAAACAAACAAAGCCAGCGCACACAAACACACAAACACACAAAACACACACACAACAGCGCCTGCGCAACAGAGCAACTAGCGTCTACACAAGCATAGCTAACACGACAGACACCCAGCGTGCGCAGAACAACAAGAGCCTGTCCAGCGCTATTGTGCCAGTCGTTTCAGAGTTTTTCAACAAACTGTACTTATAAAAGTTCCAGGATGATGGGCGGAAGCTCCTGGTTCTGGTTGGTTTGGAATTTGCTTCTGCTAGGGCTGAATGAACATCCAGGATTTTGTTTGTTCTTGCCGGGGCGTCCCAGCAATTCTAGGCGGAGATCTAGCCCACGTTAACAGTAGACCCTCTCCGCTGCGGCGGCGGGAGTGACGACCTGGAAAGAGGAACCTGTCCATGGGCAGGGCTCTGAGTGGCTTGGGCTTTGCTTGTTGTTTGACCTTTCGCTTCGCCTGACATTTTTGCTTGTGGCGCAAGCGACAACGTTCGGTTGCCTGGGTTGTCGGATTGCTTTGTCGCCGGCCCCCGCTGCTGGCAAGAAAACCCGTCCACGCTGTCTAGTTTCCAAGTGGACGGCGCTTTCAATTTTGCGTGGCTTCATTTGCAATGCAGAGGGGGGGCCAGGCAGAATGACAACGAACAAATCCAGGCTACTAAAAAACTGCACCCTGTCCAAAGGCAAGGCTCCAGTTTTTGAATAACATAGATGCTTCTTCCTCTGCCTGTTGGCGGGAGGGCAGCAGAATAATCACTGAAAAAGGTGGCAGTTGTTCAACAGCGTCGAGCTTGACAGAACTCAAGGCCCAACGCTGCCCTGCAAGCAAAACCCAATCTGATCAAACCTCATCTGGTCAACTCTGGTCAATCCTGGTCAGAAGTGGTTAGGTGATCAGACTTGACCAGGTGTGACCAGGTTTCATTTTGGTTGGTGGGGGGTCGGAACACTGCGGAGCCTTGCAAATGGAGAGGGTCTAGTTTTTCAGCAGCCTGGGCGTTTCATTTGTTTGGGCACTCGGCAACTGCAGCCTTGTCCACGGGCGGGAGTTTTCCAGTTTTCCTCACCATCCACTTGACAGGCTCTTGTTGTTCTGCGCGCGTTGAGCTTCTGAGGCGGTCTTTGCGCAGAGAGCTTGCCAACTGCACGCCGCGAGGCCGCCGCTACAATCCAAAAGAGCAAAAGTGCTACAGGGCGATGCGGGGGAAAACAG